GTTTTATGGATATAGTGATACTTCTAAATGTCTTACAAGGAATTTTATGTATTTTACAGGTTATTAAAAAGGATACGTAAAACTAATATTTTTGGAAATTTCTGGATTGAAAAACTTTTTGAACATTTTCTTCTTTCTTTGCATTTTGAACATGTCTGAAACAAAAATGATATCTATAAGCAATATTTTTCAGAAGGCTAGGAAAATACATTAAAGGGATTTTAAAGAGGTCAGTGGGTCTTGCAATTCCACCTAAAGTAAGTGTTTAATGACGCACTATGGCAAAAGCTGATCATAATATGTGATGTAACCAAACGCTTAGTATTTTAGTGGAATCGCAAGGACCAGACCACAGATGTCTGAGTGAGAATTGGAATGGTGTGAACTGCAAGGCTAAATACTTACAGGTCTTTCTTCATCAGCTAATTCTTCCTCTTTCATAAAAGATTTCAGACAATCAGATACAGAAACTTCTGTTGTATACTAAAATACAAAATACAGAAACTAAGTTATATACATCAAAAAAATGCCAGCTGGAGAGGATAGAAATTTGAAATTAGAAAAGCAGACGTCATCGAGTTAGGTCAAAAGGTTAATTTGACAAACGTTCAACAGGGCTGTCGTTAGACCCTAACTTACGGGACTATATTTAAAATAAAAGCTATTAAAAAACAGACCGAAAGTTTAGTCTTATTTTAATTAACTTAGTATTTTAATGCGCATTATGTGGATGTCATTATGGGAGAGGGAAAGTTGAGTTCATTGGAACTTGGACTTAATTTAAGCCTTTATTGTATTACCAAGACTTATTACAATCAAAGCTTACCTTTGGTATTGGAAGCGATAAATCCCAGAAAGGGTCAAAGGTCACTGAGCGATGACCACAAGAAAACTTAAGTTCACTCTTTAACTGACCAACAAATATATCTGAAAGATAAAAATATCAGTAATTTCATATATTGAAGAAAACTTAAAACATCCTGCTTTTTCCTCATTAATTCAATCTTGAATACAGAACACTGAACACATTAATATCCAACTGTTCTGCTTGTGGTCCCGTATTCTCGAAACGATCTTAGCGCTAGGATGTCCTAGGTTCTAAACTTCTAACACTATTTCTTGGATATCATAGCGATAAGATCGTTTTAAGAATATGTGGTCTGGTTTGGTTGATAAAGAGTGACAATGCCTTGAAGTGCTTCTGCATTGATAGTGGTATTAGCTTATCATTTTTCAATTTCCATCTGTTGATAGAGCTGTTATCCATGGCCTGTTGCATGGGACCTCCATTTACTTTAACACTGCAATTTTTGAACAATTCTTTCAGAAATGATTTTACTTACCTACAATTTTACTATTATCTATATTTAAATAAGCTGTCCAATATTCATGAGCTTTTTCATTGTCACTGAAAAAAACATTTAGCCTGTTATAGAATGACAATATTTCACTGAGGATCTATTGATTTTCTACAGAAAGAATCCTTTGAAGTTGTGTGCTTAAAAGAATACTAAATTTAAGAATTTTTAACTTGGTCAATAAGAGTATATATTCATCAGTAGATATACCTGGTGTCATAAATAACATAACAGGATCCTTATATAATCCGATAAATCCAAAAAACTTGGTAATTATCCATAAATATGCAATTAACTATTGAAGAACGCTGAATATTAAGATTAAGCGTTTTTCAATAATTACTTGATTTTACAGAGATCCTGTTGTAACTTTATGACACCAGGTAAGTTCACTGATGAATATATATACTCATATTGACCATTCTAGAGAACTTAAATTTTATGTTCATTCTAAGACATAGTATAACTTTAAAGGGATTGTAAAGAAGTTTTCCAAATTTTTAATGTGTATTGGAGACACTGATTGCATCTATTTGCGCCATTCCATTTTTCAATCTGTGGTTCCTGGAATTCTACTAAAAATTAGTGTTTGATGACGTCACTAATTGCCGAACATGCTTTATCACAATTAGGCACTTTGTGATTAGTGACGTCATTAAAAACTTAGCTTTAGTGGAATTCAAAGAACCAGAGACGTCTGATTGAAAAATTGCAATGGCTGATTTTGATGCTATCAGTGTTTTGGAAACTCATAAAATGGAAAGTTTACCATAATAGCAGCATCAGGCCTGGGGGATCTTCAACATACACTGCCTGTAGCAGGCTGGTTCTCAGTCATTGTCTCATCAAAACAACTATTCCCTTTAATGCTAGGCTAGGCCAATTTCAAACATATTCTATGAGTGCAAGAAAAAAATGTTACCTTTTTGTTTCTAATTTAACATCATCTAAAATCATAGGTTTAGGTTTCTTAGTGACACGATTGACATCTTCATGTAAACCTTCTAATAAATACCGTAAAAACTCTTGACTATCTTGTTGACTGAAATAGTAATTAACATATAACCAGTGCTGTGATCTATTCACTGTGGGTGAAGGAAAACATCAATCAAAGTTCACAGTTAAGGATCCTTTTTACCAGCTGTTCCTTGGCCAAACCTCTTGGCATTGTTCTTTCCCAGATTATCCGCACCCATTTACAACTGGGTCAACTGGAATTATGAGTGAAGATGACTTATTCAAGGTCATCTGACTATCACACACCGATCGAGATCGAAACTCACAGCCGCCATTTGCTGGCATTACCGCGCTGTAGCCAACTGTGCTATAGAACTTCAAGTATATAACCAACAAACTGCTCTATTTGAAGTGTAGCTTTTCAAGGCCATTACAACAAAATTCAAAACCAAAGAGCATAACTTTACTATATACTAAGTTTTTCTCATATATTAGCCACTTTGTCTAATGAACCAGCAGCATCATACTATTTGTCCATAACTCCATGATTTAAAAATTTAAAATAATCAACATTACTTACGAATAACCCATAAAACGAGGTGCAAATTTTTGTACTTGTGTTTTAAACTGGTTAGGAGAGACAAAAGTATCTGAATTTTTCCATAAAGAATTCATTAAACTGGCATAAGCTGAAGCACAATAAAACAGAATAGATTAAAATACTTCATTACATTACATAAAATATGAAGGTAAAAATGGTAACGATGGCACAGGCATCTGTTTCTATCAATAGTTAACTCTCTCTATAATAGTATACATACTATCATAGAGAGAGTTGACAATTGATACAAACAGATGCCTGTGAATGATGGGCATTATTACAAAAACCTCTTCCAATTCCTTGATTATCTGTTCAAATTTACAACAAAGTGGATTGAATTATAACAAATAATATGATGCCACAAGAAGTCTAAATTATTGCTATATCAAAATTCAAACAATTTGAAAAGATGTTTTCTAGCTTATGACGTAATGTGCATCACAGGCCATTTCAGTTCCTAATTCAAATTCTGAGATTTCAGAAAAACTTCACTTACAAAAATATGACATCATAATCTAGAAAAGCTAGAAATCTGAATATTGCAAGCAGAATAGAATAGGGTATAGGTCGAATCTAAGGTAGCGTTCGGTTGGTGAGGTCTGAACAGGTTCTGTCTGTTTAAATTCGGCCCTCAATAGAACAGTACAGAAGCGGGATATGTCACTTTCAAAATTTTCCCATCTATTTCCTTCACGGCCATTTTGAATTCTTGTCTGCACCTACTATTTTTTCGACACACGTGGAACGCATTCTGAACCCTGTTCCAACTGTTTATTCCATAAACCCCGAAAGTGCAGAACTCAACAATCAAGCGACCCCCATTAGGGTCCCTGGTACACATACAATAGTTAAAATAGTACTCCCGGTAACCTACCATTCATCAAGGCTCCTTTCATACTACTATTAGTTTTATTTAAATCTAAATGATAGCTGTCAGTAGTACAATATTCTACTAGTAGTTTAGTATTACTTAAACATTGTAATACACAATTCATAAAACACTGAAATAAACAATGGAAACAATCAATAACAAATAAGCTTAATCATCAAAAAAATATATTGGGATTGTAAAAAGGTTTTCTGAATTTTTTATCTGAATCAATTTGCACAATTCCAATTTCTAATCAGAGGTCTGTGGTTCCTGCGATTCCACAAAAAATCACTAATCGCTAAATATGATTTATCGCTTAAGGCCCTTCGCAATAGAAGACATTTTATAACATTTAAGTTTTAGTGGAATTGCAGGAACCACAGACATCTGATTGAAAAATTGATGCCATCAGAAAACCTTTGATGAAACAGAAAGCTTTCATGAAGTTAGACGGAAATATTTTCATATTCATGGTCACTCCTTCTTCTCTTTAACTAGTGCAGATTTACACAATTAGATAACTAAGCTTATGGTATTCAATATATTGTTGATCAATTAAAGGGACAGATGCGTTTTGGGGTTTGATTTGAGTCATGAATATATTCATAGTCTTCAGAAGTATTTGATATATGTACGAAATTCCTTCAAATATATCTCAACTTGGCCATTTCTTTTCCTATTTCTATAGATGTGATTTCTATATATGACAGTGTCTCCAAATTCAAATACGGATAATTCTGGACACAGATGGATTTGAAGGCTAAAATTTCGATGGTGAGCTATGAACACTGTTACTGATTGCCTTAGCCTAAAAATTCCTGTTTTTGAGACTAAAGTATGATTAGTCAAAAAAATGGTGCATCTGTCCCTTTAAAAGCAATAAATTTGGAAATAAACATCAAACTAATTTTAGCTAATTTAAAAGAAGTGATCATTGTTAATGAAAAAACTGGATTTCATCCAAACTATACATGCCATATACAGACACTATAATTAGGGGGAATTAGCATGATACAACATTATCAATATATTTTTAATTTGCTGGTACATCATCAATACATTTTGTATCTTTTTCTCGGACCGATTTTTAGGTTAGCTTGACAACATATTCACAGAGATTTAAAGGGATTGTAAAGAGGTTTTCTAAATTTTGTATGCGTATCGGGGACACTGATAGCATCAATTTGCACCATTCCAATTTTCAATCAGAAAAATTTCTATATCGCTCTACAATTGATGTATTGAGCACTATTTTAACAGTGGTATTACTATATCACTCTACAATTGATGTATTGAGCACTATTTCAACAGTGGTATTACTATATTACTCTACAATTGATGTATTGAGCACTATTTTAACAGTTGTATTTCTATATCGCTCTACAATTGATGTATTGAGCACTATTTAAACAGTAGTATTACTGTATCACTCTACAATTGATGTATTGAGCACTATTTTAACAGTGTTATTACTATATCGCTCTACAATTGATGTATTGAGCACTATTTAAACAGTAGTATTACTGTATCACTCTACAATGGATTTATTGAGCACTATTTTAACAGTGGTATTTCTATATCACTCTAAAATTGATTTATTGAGTACTATTTTAACAGTGGTATTTCTATATCACTCTACAATTGATGTATTGAGCACTATTTTAACAGTGGTATTTCTATATCGCTCTACAATTGATGTATTGAGCACTATTTTAACAGTGGTATTACTATATCGCTCTACAATTATTGATGTATTGAGCACTATTTTAACAGTGGTATTTCTATATCACTCTAAAATTGATTTATTGAGTACTATTTTAACAGTGGTATTACTATATCACTCTAAAATTGATGTATTGAGCACTATTTTAACAGTGGTATTTCTATATCACTCTAAAATTGATTTATTGAGTACTATTTTAACAGTGGTATTACTATATCACTCTAAAATTGATTTATTGAGCACAATTTTAACAGTGGTATTTCTATATCACTCTAAAATTGATTTATTGAGCACAATTTTAACAGTGGTATTTTTCTATATCACTCTAAAATTGATTTATTGAGCACTATTTTAACAGTGAAACAATTTTATTGTAACTCTGATAATTTTTATTTGAACTATAGTAACTGTGTACTGGTATCTTTTTCTATGATAGATGTCGGTATATTTTTGTTATCACATGAAATAGTCTACATTGATAATAGTACATATACTAATAGGTCATGATAGAGTCAGATACTAATTACTATATCATGTGTACTATAAATAGTACCACTGCTCATTAATAACTATAATTATTAGTTTCAAGGAGCAATGACTAGGAATTTAAAGGGATTGTAAAGAAGTTTTATGTTTATCAGGGACATGATAGCATCAATTTGCACCATTCAAACTTTCAATCAGACGTCTGCGGTTCTTTCAATTTCACTAAAACTAAGTGTTTAATGACATCACTATCTAAAAGATATATCAATACATGGTACACAATGTTTGCAATACTGATGTCATCAAACACTGAGTTTTAGTGGAATTACAAGAACCACAGATGCCAGATTGAAAATTGGAATAGGGTTCTAAGGGTAAAGATTACAAATTTCAACACTTACCGTATTTCCAAGGTTCTTTAAACCGACTTTACCACATGAGGATTTGGAGCCCTGTAATATACAACAATTCAACAACTGCATTGATAGCCCAGTCTTTACGGCATATAATATATATCATTACTCACCAAATGGCTGAGATATGTGATCCTTGCCAAATAGATACCAGTAATCAATATCACTTTTTGTCTCATGATTTACTAGTGTCAGAAAATGAAATGTCATACACTCCAAAATTCCTTATTAAACCATGGGATTTTTGGGACTTCTGTATAGTATAAATCTGCTTGATCATATGGTCTAGATATATCAATTGCTGTTCCAAAGAATACTAAATATATCTTAAGGCTAAATTTACCCCTTCAATGTTCAAAAGCTTCTTAAAGAATATAAAAATATTGAAAATGTCCATGTTGCAACTAAATGATTTTGAAAATAATTGAAATAATTGATCAATATCAATGAAATTGTTAAGCCAGATTGTATTGCTCTCTTTATTCTGTGTATATTTACTAGGTTCAATGGTCAAATGAAAAAGAATAAACTTATAAGTAAATTAATTTTAAAGGCGATGATAACATTACATTCATACAAAACCTGTACCGGTATTAAAATTCTATAACCATTAGCATTAAGCTTATTCTTTTTGCACACCAACTACAATTGTGACCCGACCCAACCTGACAATACGAAATGAGTCACTTGAGGCAAAATGGAAGTATTGAGTTACATATATATACCATTGGAAAGAAGAAAGTTTAAGCTTTAAAATGATTACCAAAATATTTTGAATATCTCAAAAATTGGCTGAATTTTACACTTTTAGTACCGATACTTTTCCTGCTCGAAATCAACTCTTTTCGGAGAAATTCAGCTTAGACATTATGGTTATGAAGTCCATAGCAACCAATGTCCTATGATGATAAAAACAAGGGTTTGTTAGTGTTACTGGTTCCAAAATAAGTATCATATGTGACAAGCAACTTATTTCTTGGTGTCAGGTCACAATTTTCTATAAGCAGTATTTTATTTTTGAAATAGTAAGCAAATAACTTACCCCACCAGAAATTGTACTACTGGAACTTTGTCTAGATAGTGATTTGGAAGGAGTTTCACCTCTAATAGAAGGTGTATAACTAGATCTTGCTGGACTATTGTCTCTTGATGAACTTCTTCCATTCAGTGTATTGTAACGTGATGACTGATTCATATCCAATGTGTCATTCTCAAACAAAGATGGCCGCCGTGTTCTGGACACACTTCTGCTAGATCCATATGTGGGACTTTTATATCCATAATCATAGTTAGTTGTGTATCCATTACGAGATTCTGAAAGTTCTGCACGAGCACGACCTCTGGGTGTATAAGTATCTGAGTCATGAATGGATAGTCCACCAATTCCAGCAGGTATATCAGCCAAGCTAGCAGAGCGTCTGGATAATCGTGATGATCGTTCGATCTCTCTCGTTGGAGTGATGCTGGGTCTACGTGATGTTGTGTAACTGTTACTGTACAAGTTACCAGTAGTGTGATCTCCCCGTATCGGACCACTGTGAACACTGCTTAAGCTCGATGTTGAAGGAGACTGAGTATTTTTGTAATAGTTTGAAATAGATAATTTACCAGTCAACCTTCGCCCATCAGTATCCAATGGGCCCGGACCAGGAGGGAGCGGTCTGCCAATGCTAGTAGACCTACTGCTTGGACGGGGGAGGGATGAATAGGAAGATTCATAGGAAGAATTGGAATATTTTCGAGAAGCAGATGGTCGATTGTAAAAACTTGTACCACCACTTCCATAAGAGGTATTGTAGGTAGTTCCGTAATTTCTTGTACCTGAGATGCCTGGCATTTTCAAAATAGTTTCCAGCCTCTTTGATAGGTGTCTTATATTCTTATTTACACTACCGGTAATATTCAGGTAATCAACAGCATGTGTTCTCTTAATCCTTGAATTTCACCATATTAACAACAGTAGAACCTGAAAAAATAATAGATTTAGGTGTTGAATATCAGAAGCACTAGAATGTACGAAAAATCGCATAATTCTTCAACAATACCTCAAACTAGAAAATCATTATGTCTTTTCTTTTATATGGCAACATCTGTTTCACGAAAACACAAGTTGTCTTTTGAACTTTCAAACATGGACAATTCTGGACACACATAGATTTGAAGGCTCAAATTGCGACTGTGAGCTGAGAACGCTATTACTGATTAGCTTAGCTAAAAAATTCCCAACTCTGTGACGATTGGTACGATGGTATGATTGGGCAAAAGGATTGAAAATCCTGTCCCTTTAAATAAGTTACAAATCAAATTTCGACTGTGAGCTGTATAATCACTGATTAGCTTAACTATAAGAAAAATCATGTTTCATAGACTAAGGTATGATTGGTCAAACTGATGATGAATCTGTCCCTTTCAATAAAATCTTCTCAGCTAAGTTTTAATTGTTGGAAGAACTTTAAAGAAAATTCCATGCAATAAATATTTCCTTAGAAAAATATTTCAAAAACAAGACCCAAGATAAATGTTCCTTGTGTATTAAAGATGGGTTCCCTTTATTCTCATTTATGAAAATAAAAATGCTAATACTTATATGAATAGAAAGTAGAGGTGTTCTAATGACTTGGAAAAATACCAGTTTGTCTCACATGTCCATAATCAATTCATAATGGGCTAAATTAGAAGAGAATTACCTGCAGAATTCCAATGAGTGACCGATCAAGAAAGGTCAAAAAGTATATTTTAGTTCATCCAGATTGTGCATACATGGACATTTATGATTGGCTAAAACATAATGATATGATGAAGAATACACGATAATTCATTAGAAACACCAATTAATCAAATAGTTTTCTAAATTTGACACTAAAAAATAAGGAAACCCATCTTTAAGTATATTTAATTTCTTTCTGTAGTATATGTAAGGCCTGTATTAAACCTGTAAATAATTATAGATACATACATAGTAATGGAATGTTACTAATTACATTACTTAGTATAACTCACTCTGACCAGTTGTATAACAAATATGACCCCTGCCTTAGGCTTTAAATCTACTTGTAGTAATCTATGGTTATTACAAAATAATGACAGCTAACTTATTCAACTCATGGTCATTTGAAATGACTTAAAAAAAAAGGCTACTTTTTATCTTATATTTGCCTTTTTCTACACAGTAAAATTGGATTCATTACCTTAAAGAAACTGTTAAAGATTTTTTAAATTTTAAATTTGTATCATGGATAGCATCAATTTGCACCATTCCAAATTTCTATCAGACACATGTAGTTCCTGCAATTCCATAAAAAAAAGAAATGTTTGATGACGTCACTAATCACAAAATATGCCCTTTGTCGTCATTAAACTTGGTTTTAGCGGAATTGCAGGAAGCACAGACATCTGATTGAAAACTGGAATTGTGCAAATTGCTGCTAAGAGTATCTCCGATACACATAAAAAATTTAGAAAACCTCTTTATAATGCACTTAAATTACTTTTTCTTCTTAACATTATTCTGGAACTCAACTTATTTTGATTCATAGACATCACTTTCAAAAGTATAAAAGTTTTTTTGTTGCATATTATTTAAAAGGACAGGTGGGCCAGTTTCGGGGGTTGACTTTGGTCCTGAGTGTATGTAAATGAGTTCAGATATACTAGAAATGTACGAAAATAGCATAATTCCTACAAAAATATCTCAAACTAGGACTTTCACTAACTAGTATTATTTCCATATAAACATATGTCTTTTCTATATGAGATAATAGAGAAAGTTAAAAAAGACTATCATTCTGGATACACCTAGATCTGAAGGCTAATATTTTGATCGTAAGCTGTGAACACCGTTACTGACAACTTAAAAAATACCAGTTTCTTTGACTAAGCTGCGATTGGTTAAAAAAAATGACCCACCTGTCCCTTTAAACTGTGCAAATTGTCTTAAATGTATTTAGATGTATGTATCCGATCAAGAACAGTGAAAAAAATATTAATCAATGTAGAACCTGTTTCTTGATAACGAATTGTGAGATACTCGTACCATATAGTGAAATTGAAGGTAATGCAATATGACAAGCTCTGTGGATTTTGCTATCCCACAATTGGTGATCGTAGCCAAGAAACAGGTTCTAAATGACACACTTTGATTGGTAATAAGTAATGTTATTAGATTCAATACAGTAGCCTACTACGCCTAGTAGAAAATATGTTAGATCTAGATGACTATGTTATATGTAAGCTTACAGAGTACCGTACACAAAATTATCAGCAAAATTGTAGTCTAATCTAAATTAGATGAGGTAACAACTCAGTATAAAAAGAATAATCTTTGGATCTTGATGATAGGCCTTCACCTTTTGTATGATATATAATACAGTAATGCATCTGATTTAGCCTAACATTTATTAATATTAGATTTAACTAAGCTAGCCCTAATAAAAACTGTTTTGTTATGTTCTTATCAAAGTTTGAAAAATGTTCACTACTTCAAACATTTATCAAAAAGGAAATTAAAATGAAATATGGATCAACCCAAAGAAGCAATAATCTTGAGACAATTGTTACTGACATTTTGCCAAGATATAGCTAAAATTGGTAAACTGTGCAGACGAATTCCTTCGGATTCGCATATTTTGACAGCTTTCGTAAAGACCTAACCTATGACTTCATGCAACCGTTTCCTACATTTCAAGAAAAATGAATCTAAGGCGAACTTTACTTAGTACTAGAGTTAAAAAATATGATAGAAAACTACAATACAAACCGGCACTCGAAAGTTAAAGGGCAAATTAGAGTCCTTGTCAGAAACTCGACACTTCCGACGCCATTTTCTTTGAGGTCAACTGCAATTTATTTTTACTTGTCGTCATAGTAACTAACCTTCTTTCAAACTGCAAGTTTGCATGTGTCAGCCTACCTATAAGAAAGATTAACCCATCAGAAAAATAGAGAAAGCAGACTTATTCATAAATTTTGATAACAAAATAACTTTAAATGAAAAAATTATTCACCAATCAAAAACTAGGTCAAATTTGTTGCTTACCATGGCATCGTACAAATTGTGAATAAATAGGCTAACTTGATACGAAATGATTAATCTATCACTTTATGGAAACTTAAACTATAACTGTTTGGCACCAACTTCCAACTCTTTGATGATGTAGCAGATAAATAAATTTACAGATTTAGTCGTTGTGATATATATTGAAATACAAAGTTTATAATTTATCATAAATGAGTCTGGATAATAAAATCTAGGTCGACGCACATCGTAGTCATGGCGACGTTTACTGTCGGCCATATTGTTTATTGTTATGGTTGTCAGAAAATGGTAAAGAACTTTTGAGGAGAATTTATGGTTTTCGATCGCAAGGATCGTTAGAAAATGGCGACACGAACGCAAACTCAAACGGTTCGGCGACAACCAGTCAATCAATCGAGAACATATGATTATTTATATGGTGAGTAGATTTAAATTGTCACCGCTGATCTGATTGTTGAGTTACTTGTTGAGAGATTAAACATCACATTTTTGTGCATTGCCATTTCGGCATTTGGCCTATTGTGGACATGATAATGATTCAATACCTTATAATAATACAATAACAATATATTTTCACTGTTAAAATAGTGCTCAATACAATAATGTAGAGTGATGACATCCATACATCATAGACTTTAAAAGATCTCTGTAAAGTGAACCTTCCTTTCTGTTCATTTAATACATTAAATTACATTAAAGTGATACTACGTCTTAGAATGAACATAAAATTTAAGTTCTCGAAATGGTCAATATGAGTATATATTCATCAATGAACTTACCTGGTGTCATAAAGTTATAACAGAATCCCTGTAAAATCTGAAAAATTTGAAAATTCATAAAACTAAGTATTTATTGAAAAACGTTTAATCTTGATATGAAGTGTTTTTCAATAGTTAATTGCATATTTATGGATAATTACTAAGTTTTTTGGATTTATCGGATTATATAAGGATCCTGTTATGTTATTTATGACACCAGATATCTACCGGCTCTTATTCGCCAAGTTTAAAATTCTTAAATTTTAATTTAACTTAATTTTAATGTTCATTCTAAGACGTAGTATAACCCAGTAATACAAAGACAATAGATTTATATTCTCAGTAAACTCCCTTTAACTCTACCACGCTTTGAACAGAACTGTCATTCGTGACCATTGGTCTAATAGGCTAGGTCTAGCACATTAAAAACCTCTTGGAAAATATCTCTTACTGCAAATGGCATGACATGCAAATAAAAAGTCATGCTTCTTAAAATGAAATTTTTTTTTTATCTTTTTCAGATCCATTACACAATGTTGCTAGTGAAAGAGATCATGCAAGGGCTACGTTTAAAGCTCATACCAGCTCAGATAGAGTTGTAAGTTTTTTTTGGTTTGCAAGTATGGCTTCCTACAGTGCTTGAATGCATTGGGCGGGCTGTAAGCTTACATTCGTACATTGTATACATTTCTTTGAACCATATCGACCAAAAAATGGTTTCTCCATTTGAAAGCACATACCTTTTACCTACATAAATACCCAAGAAATCTCAAAAAAGGCATCCGAATGTTTCAAATTTAAAATTAATTCATACCTCTCACTGTGCTACAGTCCAGGTTTTTGTTTATCTTATTGCATCATATTTTCAGAAACTGGTTCCAAATGCTAAAACTATGTTTAGTGAACTGCGACATCATCCAAGATTTCAGATGCGTCTTGAAGTCAATGATCCAGTTCCTAAGTTTATATCTCGACAATGGAGAGGGTATGCTGACCAACAACGTGATGCTTTGATCAGATATAAAACGTAAGATTATTTAAAAAAAATTGGTGGGAATCATCTGAATATGTGTTTTACCAGCTGATAACTTGATCTCAGCTTCCTGCATTGCTTCAAAGAACATTCCGCTTTTTGTGTTGGGCGAAAAAAATTTTTGTTCAAATTTGTGAAAACCATTCCAAAATCTAGAGAAACATGCCCTTTTAACATTTCTGAAAGATTTAACTTAAAAAATCCAGCCGCTAATTTTGTAATGCCAAAAATATTTAAAAACATTACGTATGGTTTTTTTATATACGCCCACATCTGTCTATGTGGACGTATTCTGTCGGCACCCCTGTCTGTCCGTAGATTTTTGGATGGAATCAAATGAAATTCGGTATGTGTATACATATTCATAAAACGAAGATCAAGTTCGAATTTGAGCTATTTTCGACCGTTAGAAGAAGAGTTATTGCCCTTGCCCGAAAATCTTGAATATGCTATTACTCTCTTAGTTTTTAACCGATTTTGATGAAACTTAAAATGGATGTTTCGTTTTTACCATCCGCATGCCGTGGTGGGCGTAAATGTCTATGGTCCACTATCTTTAAGTTCGTTATTCATTTTGGAAGCTGTTTGAAAAGTAGCATACAGATTTGAGTAAACTAAACGACTAATTATAGAGAAATATGTTGACACATTACATTTAATGGAAACATTAATTGCTGAGAGTTCAAAATAAGAATACCATTTGAAAAAATGCAGTAGGTAGCTGTACCATGTAGAAGTTTCTAAATGGTATAAAAATTGGTTGAATGTATTTCTTTAAAACAGTTTTAGCCTGAATCTAAATTTTCTGTTCTATTCATGATGCTTAAAAAAGATTATAAACACAAAGCAAAAAAAAATATATTTTTTTAAAAGCCTCAAAATATTTTAAACAAACTCCCTGCATCAGTCCAGCAAAGATAATATTATTACATGATGAGATTAACGCGTGTTACCAACGATCAAGATACAAGTAATGATAGATATTTTGTTGATTTATGGTAAAGAATTTGGACATTGAAAACGGTAGGCCCCGTAAAAATTTGATCAATAAAAAACCCCAAAATCGGTAGAATCGGGTATCCCGCCGGTAGAGCGGTAGACAACATGCAAAAGCGGTAGAAACCCGACAACATTGGTAGATTACACATGTATGCCTGCATGCTTCACATTTTCCCTAAAAATACATGTAAGATTAAGAATTGTCATTCATTATATTTTGTAGATTTAATTATGATCCATCAGTACAGGTACCTCAGAAAGTCTTTCCTGATGCAGAAGTTACTGGTAGAAACAGATACAAGTATGCTAAACGGTAGGTGCACCACATGTTTTTAATCTATTGAGATTGACATTCTTCTAGACACTTTTTATCCTTTCCTGAGGTCCTGGTTTTGTTTTACTGATCAGAAACAAAACAATTTAGTCTTGGCAAACCCTACCCAATGTAGTTATCCCTAGCACCTTTAAAGATGTGGGCTCACGAATGGTCTTGTGGGAGATTTTTGCGTCAGAGACTAGAGTCTTATCATTAGTTTCACCAACTGGCAAGGGCACACGAGGAGACAAAAATCTCCAGTAGGTTGAAAGGAAATGAATCTCATTAGATGATTACGATCTATCTTGCAAACAATAAAACTATCGGAGACAATTATCAAACTTGTTTAACATTATAAATCCTGTCGGGGATGCTTAATGTTTAAGTACAGACACACTTGAGATTTTACTCTCGACTCTAATCGGCGACAAAAATCTCCAACCAAGACCTCTCGTGTGCCTGCACCTTTAGGGAAACAAGTATCCCGGAAAGAGATTCAGGGTTTTAAACAAATTATTAGTATGAAATATATAAATCTAAATCTTTTTTTGTCCACCACAAGTTCAGGTCATTTTCAACATAAATCTCAGTGAGTATATTTGAAAATGGACGTCATATATTGTGAGCAAAATTCTACAGCCAAAAAAAGGCTCACTCATAATGACTAAAGAGATTTGCGCTTTTTTCATATGTCAATTTTTTTTCAGGCCTATGATTCCATTCTTACAACAAGTTCCTCCTGAAGTTCTGCTAGCCACAGCCAGGTAGGCCTTGTCTCTTTGTTATTCATAATTGTTATCTATATTACATTTTTTCTTATATTCATAATTGTTATCCATATTACATTTTTTTGTTATATTCATAATTGTTATCCATATGTGATTAAAGTTATTCACTATGCAATTACTCTAAGAAGCTTACATAAAAGGGACTCTTAGACCTTTGAGCAAAAGGGGCATAAATGCTTTTATTGCATGTAAATAATATACAAAAGTAAAATGTATGTGAACGCTCTAAAATTCAACCACTGTCAGTGATATAGGTGATAAAAGCTGACATGGATGATAAGCCATCATGAAGTGCCATAGGACATTGAAAAAGGGAACATTAATTTGTGATGCTTCTCTGCTAAGTTTTGTTTACCTGTACCCCTTTCCAGGTTTTACCCATGTTTTATTGATTTTTATTGTCATTATTTCAAAATTTTATTCAGACAAGATCCACTATCAAGTCAAGAACAGGGTCATGTGGAACGTCCCCCTACCCCACCTACAAAAACTACTGAAACTCAAACAGATTATCGTGATTCTGAGGCTCAGACTGATCCCTATACGCCAGAATATGTGGTACAACCTGGTACAGCTCCTGAATTACTTACACTGGCCACATTATCTTATGGTAGGTTATTATACATCTTGTTATAGATTTATATTGATGTTTGGGTGTAAGGAGAATAAATTTGCCTTAAAAGGGCACCTTCACTATCTGTTCGACCAATCATACCTTAGTTTCAGAAACAGGAATTTTTACTATGCTATGCCCTATACTTAAGCTTTCTAGACATATATTCGGGAGCCGCGGTGGCTCAGTGAGTTAGATGCTTGCTCGCTAAACTGAAGGTCTAGTGTTCAATACCTTCGGATTTTCAACACAGTTTCCCCCTTGTCAGGGATGCAGGTAAGAGAGGTAGACATGGAAAAAGCGTCTAGTCGTTCAGATGGGACAATAAAGCGAGGCCCCGTGTGCTATAGGCGGTGCACGTTAAAGATCCCTTGACAGTTGGAAATCGAAAAAGAGCAGGCTAATGCCGCTGTCCTGGCAAAATTTCCCTCATTGTACCCTGCATGGCATTGCCCCTCTTCATTACATCACATGGTGCAGAGAACTAGGACATAAAACTCCATTCATTCATTCATTAGACATATATATTTTTATTACAGGTAGAGGATTACCAGCAGGCCTAGCTGAAGTTGAAATGATAGAAAGAGCTAGAGCTAAGAGAGCGTGGGAAGCTACCTTACCACCCCTTAGTGATACATCACAGTTAGATAAACGTAGAAAAATGATGGATGATATGGAAAGAAAGGAATGGGCTTTACGAGAACAAGAAATTGAAAGGTGGGCATTTATTTTGATGTGATCTGGCATAGCAACATGAGTCACATTGACCCATTTCAAAACCGAAGTTAGGGCTTCATTGAATAGAAAATGATCTCTGCTTAAAAATCGATTATTTCTATATATATATATATATATTCTGTGTGACCGCTTGAAACCTCGTATATGCCATATTTGGTCATTTTGACTTTTTGGTACCGTTCGAAAGCTCGTAAAAGCGCGGATCTTGTGATCAAATCCTCGTATTCTTAGCTTGATTCTAAATAACTCAAAAAGCACTAATTAAATAACACGTATATAAACAGTCAGATTTAAAACTTCGTAAAATATATTATTATACGAGGTTATAAGACGAAAAACCTCGTATACTGTATTATTATACGAGTTATTGGTTGAATAGGCCGGTGATCTCGAATTTTTATACAAGGTTTAAATTTTCCAAGAATGAAAACCATGTATAGCGGTAAGAAAAATAATCAAAAAGATTTTAGCAAAATACACGTAAAAATATTTTTTTGCGTTTTTCTCGGAAAGTAATTCCAGGTCAGATATCGTTATACAAGGTTTCAAGCTGTCACCCACGATATGTGTTTTCTAAATAAGGCATAGTCTCACTAAAATTCAAGTTGAATTTTTAACTTTCAAATGTGAATAATTATGGAAACACATGGATTTAAAGACTCAAATTTCGACAATGAGCTGTTAACACTGTTACTGATTATGTAAGCTTAAAAAATTCATGTTTTTTAAACTAAGATATTATTGGTCGAACAGTTAGTGAAGGTACTCCCTTAAATGCAAACTGATTCCTAACAAAAATATATTGGGCAACGCTCAGGCAAAATGTGCACATTGAACAAAATAAAGATATTTTTGGGGTATTTCAGACTTCAAGAAGCTAGATTAGAAGTTTTGAAGAAATTATTAAAACAAAGAGAAGAAAATCATCAAGATTTAAACAGTAAAAGATTAGATAAATTATGGAGAAAGAAACAGAAAGTCAAAGAATCTAGAGTCAAGAAAATCCGAAATGAGCATATTAAAAGTAAGCTAGTATTGTGGATTTTTCCATTAGTATGTGAAATCCTCGAAAAATGCCCTTTTCTTTATCAGAGGGACTGTCTTCATTTGAGCAAGAGTTGGAAGTCAAATATGAGTAGTCCTATTCTGCAGCTATTTGTATATTTTCCTCCATTACACACTGCAAACGGATCCATGGTGGCTCTGTTAGTTAGATGCTTGCTCACTAACCTGAAGATCCGGGGTTCAATGCCGGCATTAGTCCACATGGTGCAGAAAAGTAGGACGAAATTTCATTTCATTTACACACTGCAAAACATTGAAAAATGTAACGCAGAATTTTATCACATAAACTAAAGCATGGCACTGGGTGTTTCATGGTTGGATGTTAATAATAAGGAGGAATAATTGTCTCCCTGCTTCACTAGAATCTTTTCAATTCTTCATGAGAAATGCGTTCCAAAGTGTTCCTAATTTTTTATTTATTCTTCTTTCACAGCCATTCGAAAATTAACAGAAAAGAGAAGGAATATTGAAGGGAAATTAGAAAGAAGAAATATTGTCAATGATTATTCTGAATTTGGTAGTCAGACATATGCGCCTAAAACTAGGATAGGGATTTTCTTAGATCGTGGCTCAGAACAGTTTGTGGTAAAATCCAGACATCTTTCTACTTATCAAGGTATGTAAATAATGCCAGTTCAGTCTGATCTTACCCAGTTTCCCCCTGTCAGTGATGCAGGTAACAGGCGCTGACATGGAAAAAGTGTCTTGTTGTTTGGTTAGGACAATTAACCGAGGCCTGTTGTGCTACAGGCTGTGCACGTTAAAGATCCCTTGACAGTTGGAAATCGAACAAGAGCCGATGTAATTTCTTTTTCTATCTGAACTAAAATTCTTTTGTCCAGCATCAATAGGCTACTAAAGACTTGAGAGCCATAAATGGCCATAACATAAGACTAATAATATGTGTCATTTAATAGTTGCAGACTATCTTTTGGGTTTAAATACAAACAACGTTTTTTAAAAACATTTGTTGTCATGTATATTATGAACTAGTCACCAGACCCTATCGATGGCATTATATTAACCAAAAATTTCCCACCAAGTCACAGAAACAGCCTTTATGCTTCATGTGATTTGAAAGAATATTCTCCACTAAAAATGTTTTTCCTTTGAGCAGAAGATTCCCATAGTTCATCCCCTAGCATGCAGAAAAGTAATTAGTGCTGATGATACATAGATATAATATTATTTTATCCTGTATCCTGATAATTTTAATCATTAGATCTAGATATTAGAATAAGATTGTTTCATTGCAGGATTATTAGAACTTGAAGCCTCTTTGCCTGATTTTGTAACCGCACCAAGAGTGAAGGCACCTAAACCTAAAACTGTGACTAAAGCTGGTTTTATCAAACGTAAATACCGACAGGAAAGAGAATTAATTGAAATGCATGAGGTAATTTTTTATCGTAGATTTTAGTGAAGTATTTCAGTATCAATGGTGGTTCTGAGTTCATCACTTCTTATACAAGTCCAATTTGATTAGCATAATACATCAATCATAGTTGTACTTGTTTTGAAGTCTTCCTCTTCATAATTTATAAGCCTCTGCAATACACAAGAATATGATTTATTTTCTGTTTAGATTTGAAGTAAACTAGATCATAGCTAAAATTGAAGGAAGGTCTAAAATTACATTGTACTCTTTATGATAAGGACTAATAAGCAGACGCACGTTTGATTTATTTCAGGCCTTAAAAGAAGCTAAAACTAAAGGTAAAGAAGAGCTGAAACCATTAAGATTTTTACAGAAAATTGAAAAACCAGTTCCACGTCCACCAACACCATCAGTTGAAGTTCCATCAGAGGTAATAATATTCATATAAATATCTTTTAAAGAGACAGGTACACCATCCATTTGACCAATCATACCTTAGTTTTTGATGACATCACTAATCGCAAATAGCCTTATGTGATAAAGCATATTTTGCGATTATTGGCTTCATAAAACAGTTAGTGGAATTGCAGGCATCTGATTGAAAATTGGAATGATGTAAATTGATGCTATCAGTGTCCCCGATATGCATAAAAAATGTAGAAAACCTCTTTACTTAATTGGCTTGATAAATTGGAGAAAAGATATTCTGTTCGTGGATATTAAATTTATTTTCATTTCAATATTTAAAGGAAGAAGAGGAAAGAGAATTAGCTACTATTTTCTTACAACAAGTTATCAGAGGTAGAGCCATACAAAACATGGTAAGATTTTATAATCAGCCATTACAATTTTTGGCGGCTAATCGTACTTTAAAGATGGGTGCCCTTATTTTCATTTATGAAAATGAAAATGCTAATACTTTTATGAATAGAAAGAAGAGATGTTCTAATGACTTGGAAAAATACCAGTTTGTCTCACATGTCCATAATTAATTCATAATTAGCTAAATTAGTAGAGAATTACCAGCAAAATTCCAATGAGTGACCGATTAAGAAAGGTCAAAAAGTCAAAAGTTTTTTTGTTTATCCAGACCGTTCATACTGGTTAAAACTCTTAATTATATGCAATAAGAACATAATGATATGATTAAGAATACATGATAAATCATTAGAAACATCAATTAATCAAATAGTTTGTTTAATTTGACACTAAAAAATAAGAAAATCCATCTTTAATACGGAGGTTTTATTAACTCAATTTTTGATGTTATTGTCATGTTTGTCTTCTGATTTCTTCAAACCGAAGAGTATATTTGTTCTCTAACTTTGAGGTCTTGGTTTCAATTCTTGCAAAAGTCACAAGGGACATGGAATTTCCTTGATTGTTCACTGTGTGGCATTGCATTGGCTAGACAGATCAGATGCAGAATAGTAGGGTGTAAAACTTCATTTTCATCTTCTTTCGGTCGGACATGGTAAAAGCATTTTATTTTTGGGCAATATCCTATACCAGCTGTGCATGTAAAGTCCTCAAAAGTTGAAAATTACATGAGAGACTAGAGACATTGAATGCTTGGAAAGTTTCCCTGATTGTTCACTGCATGGAACTGCAATCGCTAGGTGGATTAGATGCAGAATAGTAGGATATAAAACTACAGTTTCATTTTCTTTCGGTCAGACATGGAAAAAGCATCTTATTTTTAGTCCTCAACAGTTGAAAATCACATGAGAGACATTAGATGCTGTTATAGTAGCAAAATTTCCCTGATTGTTCACTGCATGGCATTGCATTGGCTAGGTGGATTAGATGCAGAATAGTAGGATATAAAACTACATTTTCATCTTCTTTCGGTCAGACTTGGAAAAAGCATCTTATTTTTAGTCCTCAACAGTTGAAAATCACAAGAGAGACATTAGATGCTGTTATAGTAGCAAAATTTCCCTGATTGTTTACTTCAAGGCATTAGCACAATAAGGTGCAGATGTAGGATGTAAAACTCCATTATCATCTTGTTGATATTTTGTAGATGTTTGAAGGAAAGGAGAAGAGAATAGAATTAATTAAGGAATTAAGAAGTACCCATGCTCTACAAGAAGCTGAACAGTTACAAAAGAAACAAGAAATGACAACCACCTTAGCATTACAACGTCAACGAAGATTACACGAACATAAGGTATGTTTCAAGCATGCAGTCAGCTGGTGATCTGTAACTAATGCTTAAAGGGACAGGTGCATCATTTTGGGGGATTGATTTGGATCTTGAATATATGTAAATAGTCTTCAGAAGTACTAGAAATATATGAAAATTGCATAATTCCTTTAAAAATATATCAAACTAGAAATTTATTTTCATATTTCTATAAATGTCTTTTCTATATATGGCAGTGTCTCAAGAAAAGACAAATTTCTTTTTGTTCACCTTATTCTATCGATGTTGGAAATATGGATTATCTTACTTACTGTCCAAACTATATTACGTTGATTTCATGCATTTGAGTTGATAAATGGACATCCGCCATACTATAGGTACCAAAATAAGAACATATGATCCAGTTTAAAAAAAAATCTTACAATCGATTGTCAAAACTTTGCTATTTCTCTGTCAAATTCCACACTTTCGTCACATTTTCGTAAAGTCATAAAATCCTACATAGGATTGATTACTGAGTGGATGCAAGATGAAAAATTTAATTTTAGTTGGATAAAAACACAAGAAAGGCCATTTCAGTTTGGATTTTGCTGTTTTCCCATTGATATTTTTCTAATTGCTATAATGAAAAGCTCCATCTTCATTAGCCCACATGGTGCAGAAAAGTAGGATGTAAAACTCCATTCATTTCATTCAATAAAAAGCTAATAAAAGTTTAAGGCCATAAATACAACTTGATTGAATCTTATTTAATTAAATAAAGACATTGAGAAATCAATATGTTAAATAATTAATTAAATTATGTTGATTGGTTTACAGGAAGCATTAGTTGATGAATCTCTGGGTAACATGGAAGGTTCTAGTGTTGGTCATATGTTAGATTTCCTCAGTAAAGAATTAATCCGTCTGCAAGAAGAAAGAAGAATTCATGCCTTCTCAATGTTAGCTGAGAGACAGAGGCGTATTCGTGAAGCTGAAGAAAGTGGCAGACGACAAGTTGAAGAGAGAAGACGTAGAGAGCAGGATGAAATTTTCAAACAGGTAAATGAAATTTAATTTAATTGCAAAATATGTTCGTTTTTTCATTCTGCTGGTAATTCTCTTCCAATTTAGCTAATTATGAATTAGTTATGGACATGTGAGACAAACTGATATATTTCCAAGTCATTAGAAAGTAAGGGAACCCATCTTTAATGTTAATGAATAACCAATGTATAATGAAAATTATTTTGACAATGGTAGGTTATAAAAGTACATCAGAATACAGTAGATAGTTATCTAGAGAGTATAATAATAGGAGCTGTTAATACTACTGCTGATAATCAAGCTAGAGAAGAAATACAAGAACAAGCTCAGAAGATCAATGATCTGGCTTATGAAATTGAGGACAGGTAAGCCATATCTTACTCAAAAAATACTTGATATTTGCTAAAACTGGTTTAGATAATTAGCGAAACACCCACAGGTCTAAAAATTCACACGAATCTCCAAATGGCATTTGCTCCTGTAAACACTGACTGCCCGAGTCTTGTTGGTTATTGTGTATATTAGGGCTGCAACGATTATTGAAGTTGCGATTCGATACACTATACGATACTCATCCAACGATTGTCACTATTAAGCTAAGATGCCGCGTCATGCGTCGTCCGTTAAAAATCGAATTGTTGGCTTAAGAGGGTATGATTCCATATATGCGGATGCGGTATCCGTCAAATGGTCTCCATCATGCGTCAACAAAAAAATCACCGGGTGTAGCGATTTTTGACGCATCCGGACGCCTTTCAGCGCGGAGATCTCTCAAATGTGACGTATTCCCCGTCTTTTTTATGCACCAAAGCATCCATCTAGAAGCCCGTGCGTCAAAAAAAAGATAACGCATACGTTTAACGCACATATGGAATCAAATTTTACGCATGACGGATCCGCAAGGGTCATTTATGTCCGCATAACTCGTATATAGAATCTTAGCTTTAAGCACTTAAGAACATGTAGAAGTAAGGAATTGTGATAAAAATCTTGGGATGTGACTAGAACAATGTTCTTGTGTTCATTCTTACTGTTGGAAGTTGTCAAGAATGTAGGTGTCAATAGGATCTCAAAGGGAGGTTGTAATCCGCCTCCCCCAGAACCAAATTTGTAGGTTACTATTCTTCTTCTTAAAACTCAAAAATTTTGTTTTCAGGAGAACACAACTTGAATCTGAAGAAATTGTAGCAGATTTAGTTCACTGTTTCTTACTACCTGAAGCACAGAAACAAACTATGAGAGAAAAAGGTAAGATACAGGGTAACACTTAATTCTTTAATGCATGAAATTGTTTCGACCATAGTGAATACAGCCAATCAGAACTCTCAGCTGAAAGAATGGCTACGATTGGCTGTATTCGCAGGCATAAAATCCAAACCACTGGATTTACAACTAGAAAAGAGTTTTATGAAGTCAAGGTATTAGATGCAGCTGAAGATGTCTGACATCAGGGGCTTACTTTGTTTATTTATTCTGAATCAAATTGCCACAAATTTTCCTTATACTCTCAGTATGTATTGGATATCAAACTCTCATCAGACTTGAGATGGATAAGCACAATTAGCTAGCACAGCAGCTTTAAGCTAATAGTTATAAGGACAATAATAACAATGGGTGACTTAATTAGGCCTGATGCAGCCCTGGGTTGTTTAAATTTTATTCATGTGTCTTAGCTTACATCTAAAATTTAAACTTAATTTTTTTTTTTAATTTAGTGCGAAGTAATCAACGACGATATGTGATGGCAGCCCATAAAGAAATTCATAAATCCACTGAAGATTTGATCAACAAGAATGCTAAACCCTCCACTGCAGAAGATAAGCCATCCAGTGCTGAAGATAAGCCATCCAGTGCTGAAGATAAGCCATCTGTTGAGGAAGATAAGCCATCTGTTGTAGAAGATAAGCCATCTGTTGTAGAAGATAAGCCATCTGTTGAGGAAGATAAGCCATCTGTTGAGGAAGATAAGCCATCTGTTGTAGAAGATAAGCCATCTGTTGAGGAAGATAAGCCATCTGTTGTAGAAGATAAGCCATCTGTTGTAGAAGATAAGCCATCTGTTGTAGAAGATAAGCCATCAAGTGCAGAAGCTAAGCCATCTATTGTGGAAGATAAGCCATCCAGTGCAGAAGCAAGGCCAGTCAGTGCAGAAGATAAGCCTGTTGAAGTGGAAGATAAGCCATCCACTGCAGAAGATAAGCCATCCACTGAAGAAGATAAGCCATCCAGTGCAGAAGAAAAGCCAGCCACTGCAGAAGATAAGCCAGTCAGTGCAGAAGAAAAGCCATCCACTGCAGACGATAAGCCCGCCAGTTCCACAGATATATCTTCCAGTGCTGAGGGTAAGCCTTCAAGCACAGAAGAAGAACCACCTTCATCTTAAACAAACTTTCTTCCCTTGGTATAGAATACTTGATATAAGAAACAAAAGTGGAAAAGTTACTATACTGTTACTTACAGAAGCGAATCAAATTTTACTGAATTTCTTCTATTAAAAAACTACAGTCACATTAAAATTAGACCAAACTTTTGTTATTAGCTTTTATTTTTAATATAGACACTTCAGTTAGGGACTTTGGGGCAGAAAAGCAGGACGTAAAACTCCATTCATTTCATTTCAATTAGTGTCTAATGCTTCTCAGAATACACCTTTTGTTTGCATCACAAAATCCCAGCAGTGGAGAGGGCAAGAATTTCATTGGCTGGCAGTGTCATGATATTGACGAATGTTCAAGAAAGCCGTCTTTAGACCCTAACTGAAGTGGCTAAAAAGAAAAGCTAATAAAAAACAGAACAAAAGTTTGGTCTAATTGTAATTTCAGATTCAATAAGTAACAAGAGTCTTATGATGACTTTGCAGTGATAAATATACCATCATCTAGCAATTTAAATATTATTCTGAATTCAGAAATATAATCCTGAGATGTTCCCTTTAAAGCATTATATGATGGTACCAAAGTATTGGTATAAATATACACAAGTATTGGTATAAATATAAATAATTGTATATATGTGTTAAAATCATATCTAAATTATATTTATTGTTTTCTGTATATTTATATTAATTGTAGAGCACTTAGATTGTAGTTGAAAAATAAAGAATCTTCATAATGTCAAGCTTTTCGAACTGTGTCTCATACCTTGACATCATTAGGCACTTTTCTTGATTCAGTTGGATTGTAGGCTTGCAAATACGACAGATGGCTTACTCTATTACAGGCTTTAAGTCAAAGGCTCTGATTGGTTGTAGTCACTAGTATACAATCCAGTCAAATTGCTGCATTTCGTGATACAAGAAAAAAAAATGTCTAATGATGTCAAGGTATTAGATGCAGTTCGTAAGAGCTTGACATTATGAAGATGCTGTTCAGCCTGACCAAACTAACAAATTTCAACCCCACTCCCCTGTATGCCCTATAGATTCTTGACCCTTAGCACCTATATATATATGATATAAGATTTTTCTTTAAATGTATATTATATATTATTGAATGGTATATTAAAATCTGTGATATTTTTCTTTTAATTTGTTAATAAACGTCTGAACTTAAAAAAACTATTGAATTTCAAAAGATATTCCTAACGTATATATCGAGTTGTGAATTGATTAAAATTGGAAATATCTGAGAATGCCCGAATTTCTAACCTAGTTATGAGATTTTTGCCACTTTTCACTTCTATCTTAATTGGCGCCAGCGTCCCGAGGCTGGGGTACAGACTAACTTAAAGGGATTGTAAATAGGTTTTCTCAATTTTTCATGTGTATCGGGGACAATGTTTTGCCAGACGTCTGTAGTTGAATGTTGAATTCAAAATGAGGCACCTTTGTTGAAGCGCCATTTGTCGCAAGCCTCCGATTGAGCGTCTTAGAAGGTTCTGTCAAAGAATTTTTTTTAAAAAACCGAAATTATTTGGTGCATTCACAGTCGATGTTGATTCAGGAACTTTGACCATTGTTATCTGATGCCGTCTTGTTTTAGCTACTGACCAGCCCTGTTCAATAAGATTGTTGATGGCTCCTTCATGTCGGGGTTTCTTTGGGGATTTTTTCTGAAATGATGATAACAAAATATTTATAAAAATTCGTCATTTGGCAGCGCTTAGAAAAAATGGCTTGTACCCCCATTTATTTTTTAACAAATTCAAAAATATGATTTCTATAAGTTTTTGGCCAACATTTGTGTCAGAATTCACCTAGTCAATTTCCTTTTTCAAAAATTTTGAAGAAACCATCTCAGACGCTCTATAGAAGATTTGTGCCTATTCGCTTCTACAGAGCTGCCGCATTTACAATCTCAACCTCGACAGTTGTGCCACTATTATGTCAGTCTGCTCCACCGATTTGTACCCCCAGTTTCGCCAGACTGGAGCCGCTACTGTTTGAAAGACTTTGAAAAAAAAAACATAACAAGAATCTTGTTTGACAACACCTCAATCTTAATGATGTTGAGACTCAAATTCCTCAATGAATCCATTTTCAGGAGAGCTGATTTGGAAAATGCCTTGTGTTACCAATATTAAAAGGCTAGATTTACATATAAAGATGCGAATAGACGAGGTATACGCTGGGAGATTATCGATACAGTAGAAAATAGAAGAAACGCATCGTGTATCGTACCTCGTGTGTTCATTTCATGTATTTTTGTTTGTAGCTATTATTCCGCACCGGACACCGCAGATCTTCATAATGCATTATTTTATTGATATATTTACGGTTTTGAATTTTAAAATTGAGATAAAACTTACCCCGGCATTTACCAGCGTTCGTCGGCTCTTTCTATGAAACCGACAAGTTCATTAGTTTTCATTTGTCGTCTTTGGGCTCTGCCATTTGGAAGATCTCTTTGCATTTCCCACTCATTCCAAAGCCAGACTTCTTTTCCAACAGATCATGTCTTTCTACGGGAACAGCAAACCATCCATGTTTTAGCAAATTTTCATAACTTTGATAACGATCAACTCAAAAATGTATTACTTGCCGACTTTTTATTACGTTAAAACGTTTTGCACAGTGAAAATTTAATAAATTTTAAACCAAATGACTCTATACGTCTTGGTATTCCAACAAAGTATTGAATAATGTAAGCATTGTTATGTAACACTATTATGACGTCATAATCAATAATGCGTTGTTAAAACCTTAACGCTGATAGGATAATGCAATGCCCACCCTACGTTCTTGCCCAAAAATACAAAGTTTAGAACTTTTCAGCATTTTGTAATTGGTTTTTTATTGTCCTGGATCTAAAAAAAAAATCACAGAAGGTTGTAAATGCAGCGTTGAGGGCTCCGATTGGCAGTATCTGCTGGCGTACAATCCAATCAAATTGCTGCATTTACAAACTTCCGTGATACAAGAAATGTACCTAATGTATCAAGGCATAAGACGGAGCTCGCTATATCCTGACAATGTGAAGATGAATGCCTTAGGTAATTTTTTCTGTCGAGGGCTCTGGTTTTTGCAGTATTTGATTGAGAACAATCCAATCAAATCGTTGCATTCTGTGATATAAGAAGGTGGTAATTGAAGTCAAGGTATGAAGCTGTACTAGCTTGACATTGTGAAGACGTGAGGGGAGATGACTTTCCGAAGACGATCCACCTTCACATTGTCAATATAGGCCTACAGCAAACTCCGTTTAATACCTTGACATCAGGCACATTTCTTGTATCACGGAAGTTTGTAAATCTTTAAATATAATTGGATTGTACTCTTGTAAATACAGCCAATCAGAGCACTCAACATTACATTAACAACTTTCTGTGATAGAAGAAAAGTGTCTAATGATGTCAAGGTTTTAGACAGAGTTCGTAATACCTTGGCCGTGAGACTATCGCTCGCTGATGAAAGACAGTCTGTACAGTCCCCGTCCTTCTCTGAAATATTTACTTATCTAGTTTAGGAACTCGTTTCTCTGAGGGCTTCGTCGCCAGTATTCCTTCAATGTACTGAGCATGGTCATCTTTAATTTCTTCAAAGCCACAGACTGCGTTCAACTTCTTGCTCTCAAAGTCTTCAAGTCATTTGTCTAACTTGCTTGATGAACTAGGAGCCATTTTACAATGGGTTAAAGATGGAATACCCTCAATTAAAAAGTCGGATATAATCCACTGTATTTTGTTAGAAACGTTTAGTAACTCAAGAAAAGTCGTTATTTCTAGGCCCTGGACATTTCAAAACCAACATTTTTTCATGTGAATTCTCTATTTAAGTCAATACATTTATGACAGCTAAAACATTTCAGAAAATCCAACCTAACTTTGATTTTTAAATGGACAATTTTTCCCTTACGAGTAGTGAACATTCAGGTGAACCCCAAACAAATCCAACTCTCGCAACTTACCAACTTTCAATCCAAATAAACACAATGAAATTCATAAAAACTTTTGAAAATTGCAGAAGATTGACTAAACACGTCTTGTAGTAGACATTTCAACGAAATGTTGAATTATGCGCTATTATGACGTCATAATCTAAAGACGTTATAGTTGTTGCGATTGTTCCCGTTAATATTTCTACACCCTCTCTCACCCCATTACAGCCCTACAGAAAACCCTAAAACAGACATCCCTTTGCTGTAACACTTTCGACTGGTTTAAGATGTAAAAATTGTAGATTTTGTAGACAACTAACGCTACATGTAAATATTTCTCCGAAATACTTAGAAATGACGCAAACGTTATTGTAACGTCATAATCGAAACTGTGCTCCGCAATCCGACCAATCAAGACGCTCTGGACAGAGATAGTAGGCTACTTTTAATGCCGAAATTCTCACGATGCACAACGGACATGCCCAAGTCGGCGTAAATGCACCAATAATCAGACCATTTCGAAATTGATTAAATTTCTACAAACTTTAAAATCATCATCCTTGAATAATTTCGAGATATGAAAACATACTCTATACTAGAACATTACTAGACAAATTTTCATAGACTAGAACTTTACTAGACAAATTTCCCTAGACTAGAACATTGGGCCTACCAGACAAATTTCCCTAGACTAGACTAGAACATTACTAGACAAATTTCCCTAGACTAGAACATTATTAGACAAATTTCCCTGGACTAGAACATTACAAGACAAATTTCCCTAGACTAGAACATTAGGGCCTACTGGACAAATTTCCCTAGACTAGAACATTACTAGACAAATTTCCATTAATGAGTGTATATTCTAGACTAGATTTTGGTATATGGTTTTTAACCTAGGAAAAAAAACCATTTGTCCCTTTACATATTTCAAAGATCATCTATCTTGCTGGTATCAAAGTTAAATGCAAATGATGTGATGTATTATTATAAACCATGACGAAATTAAAGCTGTCATTACCTTAGCTCTGATGATCTGAATGAACGTTAACTTCAGAGGCGGATTAACCGATAGGCAAACTAGGCAGCTGCCTATAGAAAATTCGGCCCGTGACAAATTTTGTAACATTTTTTCAAGTGGATAAAGTTCCTTTAAACAGGAATATTAATGAAATGCAAATCATAACCATTTTTTTACTTTCAATGAATCATTTACCGTTACTCATAACTGTTATTACATAATAATCAATCTATATCAAAGAATATTTGCATCACTACTTCACTTTTCCATCTATAAACTCGAAGTAATACTATTATAAGAACGGCTCTGTCGGTGAGGTCTGTGTGTTACATACACCGATAAGGCTATAAAAATGGCGGATGACTTGAAGTAAACAAACCAACGTGTTTTTATTTATTGTTTCTGCTGACTCTTATTATTTTGTATTACTCTCATGCCACGGATTTGATTTACATATTTCATATTATATCCTCAATTGGTAGCTTATAGTGAAGTCGGCAAGACTTGTATTTAGAATTATTGGCCCAAACTTTTTCAAAAGGAGAGTGCTGTGAATATGACGGTGTCTATAATTGGCATTTGCTAACAAGTTATTATTTTTTTTTTCAGAACATACCAACCTAAAGAATACTACAGAAAGTTTCTTGTAAGTTAATTGTTTTGGTTTATAACTGTTGTGTATTCATCCACAATATTAATTCCATAATACAAATATGTAGGTCATAGATTACCTTGTATAAGTACCAATAAGTACCATAGATGAGACTATCATTCACTTTATCCAAATAGCTTTGTCAATCAAAATAATTTTTTTGGTACAGGAGGAGTTGCCCATACTGATAAAATATTCAATATTTTTGTGTGTGTGTGTGTGTTCATGTTTTCAAAGCAAACCTTTAGTAGAATCATGTTGATTGGCTCGTTTGGCTGATCACATGACATCATGAGAATTTATATCCTTAATCCCTAAATAAGCTACCGGTACTAAAGTGAAACACGGTACAGAATAGTTTTGGATCTGTTGAAGAGACTATGTATATTGATATACTGGTTTGATATTTGTAGGAAAAAGAAGTTAGACCAGATGGTAGAGAGTTAGGAGAATATAGGTCTACTGTTATCAATATAGGTAGGTAGAATAAGCTACAGAATATGTGTATTGACACAGTTATTTATGGAACAACCATTAAAGTCTTCAAATCATTAAACTTTAACCAGTGATTGTTGTTCCATAAACCTGTGCCTAGATGTAATTCAGTCTAATTTCCTTTTTTATTAATAGCTTTTTTTCTTTCCCTTACAACGCTAAGATTTTGTGACACGAACAAAAAGGGCATGCATTCAGTGTCTAATGCTTCTCGAAATAGACCTTTTCCCAGCACTGGAAAGGGAAGACATTTGATTGGCCAAATCAAAATCAAAATTTGAATTAGACAGTTACTAAGTATATTACTGAACAGATCTCAATGAGTAATTTTGCTTTTTGCTGATTTTATATTGCAGGATGTATTACTACAGCAGAAGGTTCAGCCTTAGTTAAATTAGGGAACACAACTGTAATATGTGGTATCAAAGCGGTGAGTTTCTACCCTCTGATTTCAAAAAATGTCAAAGGAAAGAATTAACTCTGGCATAAAACTTTATTTAAAGGGACAGTTGCGCCATTTTAGGGGGTTGATTTGAGTCTTGAATATATGTTAATAGTCTTCAGAAGTACTAAAAATGTATGAAAATCGCATAATTCCTTCAAAAATATATCAAACTAGAAATTTCTTTTCCTATTTCTATACACGTCTTTTCTACATATGGCAGTGTCACAAAAAAAAACTGGTCCCTTTTAGCAGTCTAGAAAATCATGTTAGAATTGACGAAATTACAGTGAGCGTTCATGCAAAACTCTTTTTTTTCATTTCATTTAGGAACTTGCTAATCCAAAAGCAGAATATCCAAAGAAAGGCTTTATAGGTAAAATTATTTTAACTGTGTTGTCATGTCTGAAATCAAAGCGATTATAAAGAGGATTTATAAATATTTTATGCTTATATCGGGGACGATGATAGGATGTGGGTTCCGATCTCGATCAGCATGTAATAGTTCAATGACCTTGAATAAGTCATCTTCGACATCTTCACTCATACTTGACCCAGCTGTAAATGGGTACGGATAATCCATGAAAGATCAATGCCAAAAGGTTTAGCCAAGTACCAGCTGGTAGAAAGGATCCTTAACTGTGAACCTATGTTGTTATCCTTGTAAAAAATAGTCTGTCTTCTTCTTCTTATTCTAAATTTTGCTTGTTTCAGTACCAAATGTAGAACTGTCACCAATGTGTAGTTCCCAGTTCAGACCAGGTCCTCCTGGTGAACAGGCTCAAGTTTTATCTCAGTTTTCTGTTGATGTTCTTCAAAAGTAAGACTTTTACTATTCCTATGTTTTTGTCTTAACAGGGCTTTTGATCAAGTTTTATTTGCCAATCACATCTGACTGTGCCCAAAACGCCCATTTGTGATTTTGGATAGAAAAAATGGACTGATCTCTCTGGAGTGGATTTTCACACATGAGTGTTGGCAAATCAACATAAAATACATAGACTAAAATGTCTGACTGAAAATTTGAGTATCAATGGCAGATATTTTCATACAGAAAGTTATTTTTGTTTATTTTAGTTCTGGTTGTATAAATTTAGAAGATTTATGTATTACCCCAGGAAAGGTTAGTTATATCTTTGAAATGATTATTGTGGTTTGTTCCTAAAAAGTTGGAATAAGAAGTATCTAAACACTGTTCTTACTTGTAACATAAATAAAATGATTGAAAGCTTGAACTTATTAGGGCATTGATCACATTACCATTTTATCCAATGATGTAGAAGCTTATGCAAGTCATGAGATTTGTTTTAGATAGGGGTGGAGCTTCAGCTATGCAATGACATCAAAATTGGCTGGTTGTAGTGTACCTAAGCTCCACCTACTTTCCTCTAAGATTCTAATAGGCCTTTATGTTAAGTTATCCATGTATGGTACAACAACAAATTGCTGATAATAGACCATGATTTTCCTCAAACACACGTTTTAAAGGAGCACCTTCACTATCTGTTCGACCAATCATATCTTAGTTTCAGAAACAGGAATTATTTAAGCTTACATAATCAGTAATAGTGTTCACAGCTCATCATCGAAATTTGAGTCTTTAAATCTATGTGTTTCCATAATTATTCACGTTTGAAAGTTACAAATTCGACTCGAATTTTAGTGAGACTATACCATATATAGAAAACACATTTATAGAAATAGACAGTGAAATTTCTAGTTTGAGGTATATTTATTTCTTAAAAACACTACCTATTAGAATATGTGATGAAATTCTGTTTTATATTAACAGCTAGTATGGTCATTACAATGTGATATGATATGTTTGGATTATGATGGTAATGTAACTGATGCCTGTGTTCTTAGTTTAATATCAGCTCTCAAAAATAGTAAGTCATTTTAGAATGGATTTTTGACACAAATCTGTAATGTCAAGATATTGAATAATTTTTGTTGTATTCTTGAAACGATCTTAGCACTAGGATATCTCAGAGACAGTGTTACAAGCTAACACCTTATGACATACTAGCGCTAAGATCGTTTTCAGAAAAGGGGGCCTGAGTCACTATGTATTTATTTTTTCAAAATCAGAATTTTCTCCCAAAATATGCCAGTGGGACAAAATAGATGTGTTACTTGTAAAAATGATAATGTAGATCAATATTTACTAAGGATACTGTATAATCTGTGCAATTTCAGCATTATTACCTACTGTAAAAGTCAATGAAGAAACAGAAGCTATAGAAACAGATGATATTAATATAATCAACTTACCAGTTCAATCAACACCTATTGCTACTACTTTTGCTGTATTTGATGAGTAAGGCCAAGTTGATTATAATCCTTGTATTGGAAAAAGGTTTTCCAAACTATTTTGTATTTAAGTGTAGCAGGGATACTGATAGCATCTATTGGCACCATTTCAATTTTCAGTCAGATGACTGTAATAAAACGCTTAGTTTTAGTGGAATTGCAGGAACCACAGACAGCTGAGGATAGCTAAGATTCTCTCAACAGTTGAAATATGTAATTAGGTAGGTCAATGGTGATTCCTGCTAATGTTTGGTTTTGAACAAGAATTTGATTTTTAATTCCTTTGTCAAGTCAGCAAGCCATTTAGTCTTAACTTGTCCATTTCATTTAGCAATATCCTGTTTGTTGACCCAACAGTTGAAGAAGAGTCCTTAGCAACAGGAGTTTTAACAGTAGTCACTAAAGATGATAAGATCTGTATGCTACACAAACCTGGTAAGTGGAAAGTTTGTTTCCTAATTTGTAATGACAGACCTCAGTTTGCCAGTTTGCAATTTTCTAAACCCAACATAGGATATGACTACACCCTAAAGGTTTCTAGCTTTTTATGTGTATTGATACCATTAATGGAAAGTAAAGATAGTGGACCACAGGCATATATGCCCACCACGGCATGCGGATGGTAAATATTCAAGATTTTGGGGCAAGGGCAATAACTCTGCTTCTTACGGTCGAGAATAGCTCAAATTCGAACTTGATCTTCGTTTTGAATGAATATGTATACACATAACGAATTTCATTTGATTCCATCAAAAAATCTAGTTTTTAGAGCGTTTACAAGCAAATTTTGACGGACGGACAGGGGTGCCGACAATATATGTCCACATAGAGAGATGTGGGCGTATAAAAACTGCTCATAATATCTTAGGATTTTTGATATAGCTATGTCATTCAACACTTAGTTTTTATAGAATTGCTAATCCCACCATGGCTATGCTAAAAATTGGAATGGTCAGAATTAATGTTTAGTGCTCCTAAAACACATTAAACCATTTTATACCTTTTTCAGGTGGGAGTCCATTAAAAGATTCTCAAATACAGATGTGTATAGATAGAGCCAAGTCTAGGAGTACTCAAGCTATTAAATTAATAGAAGATACACAATGTTCTCTTGATAGATGACAATAAATACATATTCCTTACAAGTTTGTTTCTACCTTTACCAGCATGACACATTTATATAATATCAAATGGAGAGATTGTGACTGATAGCAGTTAGCCATCATTGATCCTATCTTCACAATGCCTAAAGAATTGAATCAATTACCTTGACTGCAATATTCACCTTTCTTGTATTACAGAAGTTTGCAAATGCAGAAATTTGATTGGATGTTAGAGAATAGTCAATCATAACCCAGGATTACACTCGCAGCCTAATTGTGAACTGTTTTTCTGTTGAGAGTGTACAACTCAATAAATAGTTGCATTTACAATCCTGTGACAGACAAAAGGTGGCTATTGCAGTCAGGCCTGCGACTACAAGGGGGGCTATTACAGAGGGCATACTCTCATCAGCCCTTCTAACCTGTGTCAAGGTGGAACTGGCTAGAAAAAAGTGAAGAATAATCTACAGAATTCAGTTTATAGCCCTAACAACCTCAAACTATATAAAACATAGTAGCAAATATGACCTTATCTTTAGGCACGCCTTGCAACAGAATCAAGTCAAAAGAAACAAGTTTTTTTTTTTAATTTATTTTATTTAAATGATGAACTCGTATGGTATAGGTTCAATCAACTGTGGCTTGTTTTTGTCTGTTCTGACAAAGAAACCTGGTTTAGGTTGGGCAGCCTGAAAAATATAACATTAACATATCTAATTCATCATGTTCAAATGGATTTTCAATTTTGCCAGGACAGAGGCATTAGCCTGAATTCCAACCTTTTGGAGAAACATTGCCAGCAACTCGTGAACTTTTCTCATGAGAAACTATATCAATCATAAGTGACTTAGTATTTTATAATGAAAAGTGGTATCAGGTGTCATGAAGAGTAAGCATACCCTGTCTGGCACCACTCCCATCATAGCTGCTCAACAGATAGGAATAGGTATATTACATTTAAGATTCATACACAGTTATATCAAAATCATGGCAAAATACAACTGCATTTGGTGGGCTACAGGAAACATATCAACATACCTGTCTTTTAAGTTGGGGTTTAGGTTGTTTATTCTTTTTAGCTTCTTCAATTAATCTTTGATTTTCTTTCACTCTCTTGATGAAATCATCTCGACATCTTGAAGGCTTAACATGTTCAATTCTCACACTGATTTTCTTGGCCATGATACGTGTTCTGTGAAAGGAAATCACATGGTTAACTTACAATTTAACAGTTTGTGACCTTCATTAGTCAGATGAAGACAGATTAGTCATTTTGTGGGTTGATTTTGGTCTTGAATATATGGCAATAGTCTTCAGAAGTACTAGAAATGTATGAAAATCACATAATTCCTTCAAAAATAGTGAACTCGAACTAGGAATTATACTGTCTATTTGTATATAAGCTTATGTCTTTTCTATATAAGGAGGTGTCAAGAAAAGACGAGTTGTCTTATAAACGCAGACAATTCTGGACACACATGGATTTGAAGGCTCTAATTTCGATCAAAAGCTCCGAACACTATTACTGATTAGCTGAGCTTAAGAATTCTGAAACTACAGTACGATTGGTCAAAAGGATGGCCAACTCGTCCCTTTAAATTATCAATTTAAATCATTAGATTTAGATATCTTGAAAATCTCAAATTAAGTACCTGTAATGTAGGAGGCAGATCCCAATTGAAAGATCGTAACTAATTCTACAGAAACTAGACTGACTTGAAAAAAGTTACCTGGATTCATATGAAATCCAGCTATTTTAAGAGCATCCAAATGTTTCTTAGTACTTACCGTACTCTTTTGTTGACAGTTACACCTAAAGCTCTTCTGGCTACATTGAATACTCGACCGGTTTTACCATGGTAATATTTATGGGGCATACCCTTCTGAATTCTGGGGTCAGCCTAAAATTGAACAAGCCAAGTTTAATTATATAATAGAACCAGGTATCACCACAATGCAAAGCTGCATAAAAAAACTCGTGTGTGATTTAATGGGCAATACTTTTTTTTGTAGGTCGAAAACTTTTGCTTAAATTTGTGAAAACTATACACCAAAATCTGGTGTCCCTTAATGTATCTGATAGTTTTAGCTAAAATAAAATCCAGCTGCTCATTTTTTAACACCAAAACTATTTAAAAAATTTGTTATGTGCAAAATAGCCAAAACTGACACTTCAGACATAATACGTTATTATTCCAGAGTTCAATTCATCATAACATTATTCTTACCTTAATGTCAACATAATCACCCCTTTTAAATACATGCATATACCTAGAAGTGTGGACCACACCCCTTTTCCTGAAGGGACAGGCCAATAAGCGTCGTGTTCCTGCTCTGATACCCATTCTTTAGCTAAAAGAGAAAATAATATCAATTACGCAAAACTGTCAAAGAATTCATTACTGTACCTTTCTAGAGACATATTTTTCTCAATTATACTATATGGAAGTATCCCATCCAAAAACACGAGACAATAATATGGATTTAACATACAGAAGTATGTTTATTCCATCAAATTGTCTTGAATAAACACAATGAACACAGTTTGTATTGACTTGTGTTTGTGATCTTATCACTTCAAAATATTCAAATCTTATATATCAGTAACTAAGATTGTTTGGTGACAACTATAGGTAAAAGAGCTCGTTATTACAGCCATAAATTAAAAGGAAATCAAAGATTAACGGTAGGCCCAACTAATATGCAAACAGCATACTGTACTTGTACAAAATTCCAATGTAGTTTAGCCCAAGAATGCAACTTTTGATCTGATGCATATAGTTTATTGTCCTTATGCTTCTGGGCTTAAAAAATGACAGACTGAACAGTGAAGCCAAATCCAAGATCATGAAGGAAGAATCAAACTAAGAGGTGCAAGTAATAAGGTTTCTATTTTGTGTCAGTACAAATATTGTTGTTGAATAGGAGATATTATAACGTCTAGATTAAGAAACACTAACAGAAGGATACTGAAAATCGCCAAAATATCGTGTTTGAGTCTCAGCAGAATGCAATGAAAACAATTCTGTCCTGAGCAAACACGTGTTTTGTGTTTATTTTTTGTAATTTGTAGGCCTTTAGTGTGAATTAAAGGAAGTTGGGGCTGATAATTACGTAAAAACATTGTTATAAAAGATGTATGATATATTTTAAAGTAAAAATAAAATACAAGTTTTGACTATTAATTACATTATTCAACTCTAATCTCAGAGAAGATGAAAACGGGCACTTGCCTCGTGAATGGCCGACAAGTAAAAGACGGATCGATGAGAATTTACGAGAGTTGTAAAATATTAAAATTCTTTGGCGAATTTACTATATTTACACCCCTTTCTGTTTTCTCAAAATAATGAGATAAATAAATTTACTTTTAGCTCAATTTGAAAAAATTAAGAGAAAATATATATTTACATTTTTATATCCCGAGAGTCAATCCAAAACAACATGGCGGACAAAGTTACAAGAAATACTTCGTGTCATGAAAATTGTTTGAATTAATGATGTAATACTTATAGAATCATCCAATTTAACTATTTTCCAGTTGGAACAAAGTTGAACATGGTATGGCACATTTCTTTTCTATGCTGACATGCGTTTGCATGAGTGCATTTTTGGCTGAAAAGCCATCAACTGGATGTGATTAAAATGGAATGTTTGTTTTGATTTTGCTTCCTCAAACTTGAAGGCACTGGCCTAATTATTTGCCCTCTATTTTTTTCAGCATATCTTGGATGGTGTTGCTTTTTAGGAATAATGTGTACATTTGTTGATTTTAGTGAAATAGGCAAAGAATTAGCTATTAGTATCAGGGCAATGGATTAGGCTTGGTTAAGCTCATGTGTCAAATTAACTTTGCCAACAAAAACTCAATGCAACATCATAATTGTCGTGAAGAAAGTATTTGGCCTAATGCTTAATGCTGACAATAGCATCCTCTAACAGGACAACCAACCCTGCATTAAAATCTTCTCAATGATATCAATACCTGATACACTCCACTTTTAACAAGACCTGAATGTAAGCAAGATGCGTCTTATACAAAGTAATTCACAACATAGAAGATATTATTCTCCAAAATGAAAAAAAAACTATGATCAATGTAATTATTTTTTTTTCCAGGGAGCCAATGCCTCTCAGTTAGAGAAAGAAATAGGATCTGAACAGTTTCCAATTAATGAACATTATTTCGGTCTTGTAAATGTAAGTACTGGTAACGAAAGTGACATGTTCATCAATTTTACTAAATTTTTAACCTTTAACAAAAAAATGGTCTACTTTTGATTGCATTACTTAAAAAAAGATCCTGGCACCTGAGTGTTTCTTTTAAGGTAATCAACTGTAGTCCATTTGTTTTTAGTAACAAAACTTTTAACCAAGTCGGACAGTATAGGGTTGTTCATGACTTTATTCTGAAAGATGTGTGTTACTTTACTACAATAAAATACAAATTTTTACTTTACTTACAAAGAAATTAAAACAAATGCCTATGTAAAATAATCCCCAAATCAGTCCAATTTTGAATAAAACGGTTTCATATCTCTTAAAAGAAGTAAAAATTTATCATTAAAATAGCCAGTTAAAAATCATAGATCATGGGGAAATTCATCTTCACAATTGTCAAGGTATTACAAACTTCATACTTATACCTTGACTGCAATAGTCACCTTTTATGTATCATTGAAATTTGTAAATTAAGTAATTTGATTGGATTGTACACTAGCGAAAAGAGCCAATCAGAGACTTTGTTAGAAAGTCTGTGAACACAAAGGCATGATTTTACTGTTGATGGCTCTAATTGGTTGTATTTGCCAGCATACAATCCAATCAAAGCACTACATTCTGTGATACAAGAACAATGGCTATTGATGTCAAGGTATAAGTACAAAGTTTGTAATTTGATGTATGTTTTGTTTTTCTTTCAGTTTGGTAATACATGTTATTGTAACTCTGTTTTACAAGCCTTGTATTTCTGTCGCTCGTTCAGAGAAAAGGTTTTACAATACAAACAACTACAGAAAAACCAAAAGAAAGAAACCCTGCTGACTTGCCTAGCTGATCTATTCTTTAGCATAGCTACACAGAAGAAAAAAGTGGGAACAATAGCACCTAAGAAATTTATCACTAGACTAAGGAAAGAAAATGGTTAGTTTCAATCAGTTTGCAAAAAAATTGATAAGCTTAAATAAAAAGACAATAGATAATTCTGGACACATGGATTCAAAGGCTCATAATTCGACTGTGAGCTGTCAATACTATTCCTGATTAGCTCAGCAAAAAAATTCCAGTTTCTGAGACTAAAGTATTATTAAAGTATGATTGGTAAAAAAAAAAGGGCCTACCATGTATTTAGATGGAAAATTAATGCAAAATCAAAACTGGATAATCTTTATTAAGTGACTGACAGATCTTTGGAATACCTTTGTGATTAGCTAATTACAAGCTATTTAGAGTCTTGTGAGACAAATTTTTATTTTTCTTACTCATTAGAATACCTCTACTTTCTATTAATGTAAGTATTAGACTTCCAATAATGGAATATATCATGAATGAAAATGAGGGAAGCCATCTTTAAAGTCTGAGATAGCCTTCAATTTTTGATATGCATTTTATTTGGCCTATTGTTTATTGTTTTCAGAGCAGTTTGATAATTTTATGCAACAGGATGCTCATGAATTTTTGAATTATTTATTAAATACAGTAGCTGATTTATTACAAGGTAAGGTCAAATTTCTTTTCACCAATATAGGGATGAAAATATATTGATGGTCATATCTTTACAAAAAAAAGAAAAACAATTTTCTTTAAATATTCATGAAGATCCTTTCTACCACCCAGGCCCATAACTAGGGAGGAGAACTATATTCGCCGCCCCCGCCCACCCTTGCAAAATTCTCAATTGAAGCTGAAATCAGCCTCTATCAGCTATTGTCCCCCATGCAAATGCTGCCGCCCCCCTTGAAACATTGGACTACTACCAGCATACTACCAGTTGGTCCTTGGAAAAACCTATTATCAATGATCTTTCCCAGAATATTCATTTACCCATAGGAAAGATGTCCTTTAAAGTTGGTCTGATGTCTTTGCTCCTAGATGTCTTGTATTCCAACTCCCTTACAGACTGTACTTCAGCCTGCCTAGATCTTAGCTAGTTCATATTATGTATTATTGAAATTTGTAGCTGATAAACAGGGAAGTAAACCGAAGAATAGTTCTGGAGATTCTAAAGGGAAACCTGATCCAACCTGGGTACATGATATTTTTCAAGGTACATTAACTAATGAAACAAGATGTTTAAATTGTGAAACAGTAAGTGCTTTCTTATTTCTTTTGGTATGTTTCATAGAATTTTGAACATACTCATTTGTAGTGAATCAGTTGTATGAATTCATGGTGATGCTGTATTGGTGTCTTCTGCTTGTTTTGGGATTCACAGAAATAGCCAGAAATTTAATAAAACAGTTGAAACAGGGTTGGAATGCAAAAAAAAACCTCTTTACAATTCCTTAAGTGCTTACCCTGTATTTAAGGTGAAGCAAACATTGCCTTTGAGAATAAAATATAGAATTTCTATAGCCTCTATCGTCTGATAACTTGATATCAATAAGCACTTTCTTGTTTCATTGAAGTTTGTGATTGGATTGGATTGTATGCTATTGAATACAGCCAATCAGAGCCCTCTGTTCATAAAGTCTTGGCATGTAACCACTTGTTCTTGTCGCGCTGTCAACTTGTGTTTGATAAGAAAAGTGCTAAATGATGTCAAGGTATTAGACAATGTTTCTAATACCTTGACATTGTGAAAATGCTATCCACCATCAATTGATAAGTTTTGTATTGATTATTTTAGGTAAGCAGTAAAGATGAAGATTTCTTAGATCTATCTGTTGATGTAGAACAGAATACATCTATAACACATTGTTTACGGGGGTTCAGTAATACAGAAACATTGTGTGCTGAACATAAATATTACTGTGAAGTCTGTTGCAGTAAACAAGAAGCTCAAAAACGGTATAATTTAGTTCTATTTTCAATCAGTTCGACTATTTTCCTGATTCTATAATTTCATAAAGATTCTACTTCTCGATTCCTCACTCCTATGAAGTGTCTGCGCTTCGTTTTTTCCTAAACTATCAAATCTGATAAACTTTTTGATTCTAAAATTGAATGAACTGCAGATATGATAAGCTCTTGTCATTTAGAGTATTTTACTTGTGGAATTACTTTTAGAAGCCTTGACGATTCATTTTGGACGTTGGTCAAATGAGTAAAGTACTGCTTGATAGGTTCAGCTTAAAATATGTCTGTGTAAAAAAGTGTTGAACATTTTGTGCAATGAATCTATAAAGACTATAAGAAATTGTGTTTCAAATGTTAGTAAATGTATAGATAACATGTTAAAATATTATAGTTTTGGTTTGTCATATTTTTTCAGAATGAGAGTAAAGAAATTACCACAAATCTTGGCTTTACATTTAAAAAGGTTTAAATATATGGAACAGTTAAATAGATATATTAAAGTGTCATATAGAGTTGTTTTTCCTTTAGAGCTACGTTTGTTTAATACAGTAAGTATATTGATCATGTCCTTGCAAGGAGAAAATATCCACCCTGATATAGCAAATGAACTCTTCTTCACACTGTATATTGGTAGGAAAAGCATGTGTTTAGAAGAGTGTAAGTTTGAAACAAACTTTAAAAGTTTCAATAATTAATGTAGTGTAATGGATATATTGTCTTCTATAGAGGTTCTATTCTTTAGTCATAGCACCTGGTAGGACCAACTGATGAATATATACACTTGTTTATAAAAGAGCTATCTTGGTCGAAGATTTTTGTCGTTGACTCAAATCTTAAGTAAAATCTCGCATGTGCCTGTGCTTCCACGACTAGATTATCGCCTCTCCGAAAGGATTTATAATATCAAACATGTTTGATAGTTGTCTCTGATAGTTTTATCGTCTGCAAGACAGACCGTCATCATCCAATCAGATTCATTTTCTCAATTGCATGATCCACAAGATGGAAAAGACCAACAGGAGATTCTGTCTCCTCGTGTGTCCGTGGCAGTCGTTGAAACTCAAGACAAGACTCTAATCGGCGACAAAAGTCTCCAACCAAGATTGATCATGTGCCCACACCTTAAGAGTTAGTATTCCTTTAAATGAACTGGCAACTCAAGTGAATTAATTTTTAAATGAACCTTGATATATTTTCTAGTCTGATGATGCCTGTAATCCAGAAAGAATGTATGATTTAATGGCAGTAGTAGTTCACTGTGGTAGTGGACCTAATCGTGGTCATTATATTAGTATTGTTAAAAGTCATGGTTTCTGGCTGCTATTCGATGATGATATTGTAGATGTAAGTAATAATTCATCAACGTTTTTATTGCACCATATTATGGAGGCGGGCTAGAAAAGAAGTAATTTTATAATTTTATGAAAAGTTTTTTTTGTATTGGGCGTTATAAGAGATTCTCTCGTATGTCAAAACAGATTTTCAGAATTTCTATGACCTTCACCTTGACCTTATGTAAAAATGGCAGGAAGATCATATGTGGCTCTTCTTTGTTGACAAAGTTCAAAGTCGTTAAACAAAAGTTTGAGCTTGCTGAGTTTCGGATTTGAGAAAAAGTCATAAACACAATTTTAGCAACAGGTATCGAATGCAGCATCAGTCCCAGTTTGTTATGAAATTTCTTGATGATCAGTTTTCAATTCTTTGTTTTGTAGAAAATAGAAGCCAGTCAAATAGAAGAATTTTATGGAATTCCGTCAGACATGCAGAAGAATTCAGAATCTGGTTATATCTTATTTTATCAAAGTAGAGAGTAAATTCGTTTCTTTAGTATTTTTTACCCTCTATTTTACATTTCTACACCTCCATTATTTTATTTTATTTTTCCTGAATGCAAAACTCAACTCGTCTGGGATTCGCCTAATACCATATATCATTATGCAAGATAATCTTTTAAACAAGATGGAAGCCAAACTTTTGCCTTCTATTTTGTACTGTATCCAAATTATCATATATTTTCAAAATATAATAAACAAATCTAATTGGTTACTAGTGCAATAAAATCAACCAATCAGAACTCGTGAAATTATTTAAATTATGATAACCTTAGGTAGTGTGATTGATCTGTTTCTTTACTCAATGAAATTTTTTTGAAAAAACACAAGTATGCTATTAACATGATTTCTAAATATGGCAATTTCATTTAAACTTTTCCACAAAGTTTATGTTATTTTTAGCAAGATTGCAAAACATTTTGATAATTAAAAATCATAGATAAAGAAACAAAATAACACATAATCCAGGGTTATAGCTAGAAATGATCTAGGCAAATTTGGTATAGGTTTGAATCTAAATTTTTTAGCAAGGATTTAATAGAATGAAAAGAACTCGCCCTATGAATGGAAATATATGAAAACTTAAAGGGATTGTAAACAGGTTTTCTAAAATTTTTATACATACTGGGGACTCTGATAGAATCAATCAGACGTCTGTGGTTCCTGCAATTCTACTAAAACTAATAAAGTGTTTTATGACGTCACTAATTGCAAAATATGCTATATTACATAAGGCCCATCATGATTAGTGATGTCATCAAACACTTAGTTTTATGGAATTGCAGGAACCACAGACGCCTGATACATACAAAATTTAGAAAACCTCTTTACAATCCCTTTAATAATGAAATAGTTGTTACTATCAATATTAAGCACAGTAAATGGTTGATTTAAATGGAAAGTCCTAGATCTCTGGGGAAAAAAAGAATTTTCTCAATTTTTTCCAATACGATTTAAAATGGCTACTTAGTGGTGTGGCTTTCAAAACAAGTATTATAATTTAGACTGCTGTGAATTGCCTGTTATTGAATAAAAAAATTGGAATACAATTGGTTTATAGGAAATTGTCTATTATAAGGTTAAAGATACGTTCCCACTACAAATTTAAATTTCATTAATTCATATCAAATGCACAGAAAAATTATGTTAAGATTTTCTGAGATCACTTGTGCTTTTTAAATGATTTAAATCATGACTTTCTCGATAGTTGATTTTCTAAACATGATTACCATTCTATGGTAGTATATCATGGACTCAAATTCATACAAGAAGATTTGTATGGCATCCATTTTTGTATTTTGTTTTGAAAAGACAAGCTAAAAGTTTCAGAATATTTTCATTTTAAAAAAAACCCAGTAAAATTGTGCATGTCATTATAGTTTAAAAATACATTGAAATGGTGTATTCCATACTTTAAAATTATATTTAAATGGTGTATTTTGTAGTCCATACTTTAAAAATACACTGAAATGGTGTATTCCATACTTTAAAATTATATTTAAATGGTGTATGGTGTATTCCATACTTTAAAAATACATTGAAATGGCTTATTCCATACTTTAAAAATACATTGAAATGGAGTGAGTACTCCATACTTTAAAAATACATTAAAATGGTGTATTACATACTTTAAAAATACATTGAAATGGTGTATTCCATACTTTAAAAATATTGAAAAGAGTCTACAGAGACAGGTGCAACTTTTCAACTATAAATTACTAGAGAAATTGTATATATTATCTGTGATTGTTATAAATTATTGTTGATTTATTGAAGATATTTCCTCTAATTAATTCTATATTGTCATATCTAGATACTGATTATATTGTTTATGTTCATAGAAATTTAATATGTTCAGTGGAATTGTTCTAGTTGTTATGAACAGGTTAGAGGGATTGTAATTGCAATTTCTCTTAAACTACTGTACAAGTTTTATGATGTCACTATCACAAAGGTCATTTATATCAAAAGCAGTCTAATTAAAATAAGACCTAACTTCCGTTCATATTTTATTAGTTTCGTTTCAATGTTTTATTGGCTATTAGCTTTGTACGTAACCACTACAGTAAGGTCTAACACTGACTGTCCTTCTTGACTGTTATTCTGTTAACCTTTGCTTGACCTCTGTTTTAACCAGTCACGTGGCTGCCCTTTCCAGCGACGAGATAATGTGACACGAACAATATGTCGCTCTGAGGCGTATTAGACTAGCTTGTCAAGTCTAAGGACAGTGTTAGACCTTACTGTAGTGGTTATGTACAAAGCTAATAGCTAAAAAAAACATTTGAAATGAAACTGATAAAATACAAACAGAAGTTAGGTATAATTTGAATTAGACTGATATCAAAATGCGAAGTTTGAGTGGAATTGCCACAGACTTCTGAATTCGTATTACGATTTGGTTTACAGGTCTAAATATATAATCCTCCTGTATATAACAGAACTGAACAATTCCAACTGAACATCAAAATGTACATAGAACTTTAATTTGGCGTTTGCACAATACACCCGTTTTTAATGAACTTGTTCAATTTTGTAGATCTTTGAGTTGCCTATAGTCCGAAACATCAGCTGTTTCGGTCTAGGTTGCCTATAGAATTTCAATTTGCTCAATGGCATGCAAATTTACAGATCTTGAAATCAGTAATTAAAGTGTTTTGATAAATTGAAATGCCAAATTTTGTAGAAACTTTACAAGGAACGTTTCTGATCCCGGTAAATAATATTTTTTTAAAGAATGGTTGGCATTTGTTTCAGCTTTTCAAAAAACAAAATCATTTTATTTTGTGGAATTTTTACTTTGGATACAAAATTAATGTAGTGCAAATTTACAGTTACTGGTCTCAGTTTGATCCTTGGCCTTTGAAAACTGAACCTGCCTGACCTGCTATAAAATTAAAGGGGTCAATCTTTTTTTAATTTGTCAATTTATAGAAGTTGGCCACCCATATCACCTTTCAAAATGAAAATCTTACTTCAGGTAACTATTAGCTGATGCCTATATCACTTTTAGCTTGGGTTCACTGAGTTGTACATCTTCACAATATCAAGCTATTACAAACTTTGTACTTATACCTTGACTGCAATAGCCACCATTTGTTTATTATGAAGATTGTAAATGGAGTGGTTTGATTGGATTGTAGGCTAGCGAATACAGCCAATCAGAGGCCTTGACAGAAAGTCTGTTAATATAAAGCCATAATGTTAACGGCTTTTTTGATTGGCAATATTCTTGGGCATTCTGTGATACCATAAAAGAGGCTATAGCAGACCAGGTATAAGTACGAAGTTTGTAAATACTTGACATTGTGAAGATGTGATTTGTAGGTGAACTCTATATCTACTTTAGGCAATTAGGGCTCTAGAGCTACACTAACTTATTAGAAAGTTGTTGTTTGATATGTAAATAGTTTATTATAGAATCATAAAGATAGATTTATACCAGTCCAATCATCACTATAAAACTCAATTTATATATTGTCATTTATCACTACCATTTTACTATACATGTATATTAGCAATGTAAGCACTGGAGTCAAGCCATGGTATTTGTGCACATCTCATTAGCATTCATAACTACATCAAGAGTAGCGCTTGATTGGTGAGTTCTGAACAGGTTCTGTCTGTAAAGGTGCGGGCACACAAGTGTTCTTGGTCGCCGATTAGAGTCTTGTCTTGAGTTTCAATGACTGGCACAGGCACATGAGGAGACAAAAATCTCCAGTCAGTCGTTTTCCACCTTGTCGATAATCACTTGCAGAGCTTGCAGACGATAAAACTATCGGAGACTTGTTTGATATCGTAAATCCTGTCGGTGACACAATAATCTTGTCCTGGAAACACAGGCACACTTGATTGGTGAGTTCTGAACATGTTCTTACTGTAAGGGTATTTGTGCAAATCTGGTTACCATTGGAACTAGAGCGCTTGATTGGTGAGGCATGAACAGGTCTGTTCCAATTCTAGGCTTCAACCAAAGGGTACAGAACTGCATATGTCACATTTAAAATTTATGCCACCATGAATAGTCCACTTCATTGTTAGTTAGCTTAAAGGGATATTCCGCTTTTTTGTAAGTTAAAAAAACAATTTTGCTCAAATTTGTGAAAACTAAACTCCAAAATCTAGAGAAATGTGCCCTTTAACGTATCTGAGAGTTTTAACAAGAAAAACAAAGCTGTTAATTTTAAAAGACCAAAAATATTTTTAAAAATTACATAAGGTTTTTAAGTTTGTTATGCATTTTGGATGCTGTTTGAAAACTACTGTATGAATTTGAGTAAAATAAACACCTAAGTGTAGAGAAATATGTCTCCTATGTATTCTGAAGGTTTCAACTAAAATTATATCAAGCAAATATGAAACCAACACCAAAACAAGATGAAACTGCTTAATTAACAATTGGTACTCTTAGTTTTCAATCAACCCTTTTAAAACAATTACAGTTTGATCAGATATTTTTTGATTATAGATATAAATAGCATACTTTAGATATATTTTCAGGTATAATTTACAATGCTTTTGATAATGAAAACTTTTTACAATAAAAGTGGAATACCCCTTTAAGTGATACAATCTTCAATGACTATTTATTCATTTATCAATTTGGAATGTGCATTAATATGGTTGCTGACTTCAAGCACATGTTTGGTGCATTTGTATTTGTTGTGCTGTGCTTATTGTTTCTTTATTTGTTAACATAATACTGTAGATTGGTTGAAAAAAATTGTGTTCTTGTGCATGTTTCTAGTATACAATTGCTCTTGGAGAAAATTTCAACCAATTCCAATTCTGTTGCTCTTAGCCTGTGGTGTTTTCACCCCCAGGGGTGTGGCCAACTGTTGTAGAAGATTTTATCTATGATGAGGTTTAAATGATTGCTCTGGGGGTGAGAGGCCTTGAAAAGGTTAGGAACCACTCTCCTAATTTATGAATCTATTTCAAAACATTAAAGGGACAGATGCGCCATTTTTTCTCAAATGTACCTTAGTTTTAGAAACAGAAATTTTTTAGCTAAGCCAGTCAGTTATAGTGTTCACAGCTCACCATCAAAAGTCCATGTGTTTCCAGAAATTTATGCCTATCAAAGTTAAAAAGACGAGTCATCGTATTTTGAAACAATGCAATATGTAGAAAAGACATCTATAGAAATAGGAAAAGAAATAACTAGTTTGAGTCGTTTTTCAAGTACTTCTGAAGATTGTTTTCAGATATTCAAGACTCGAATCCCCCCCCCCCCCCCTCCCTAAAAAAAATGATGCAATCTGTCCCTTTAACATAAACGGTCATTTAAATAGTGATAACACTACATTGTTTCAGGTTTTTAAACTTGGGCATAAATATTTTGGTCAGTAGTTTACAGCCATGTGTTTTTGTTTAGATTATTGTTTAAGATACATTTAGCTTTGTTATTTATGTACTACAGATACCATGTAAATTTGATGTGTATAGAAAATAATGAAATTGTACATGCCAGTAAACATTCATTGTATGTTGACAAGATAACTGATTGTTATTACATAATATTTGTTATTCTTTTTTTATATCAAAGAGTATGGGTTGGCAGTAAACATGAGTTGCACCTTCGATTTGAAGATGGGTTCCCTTATTTCCAGTTAAGTGGAATAGCTGTTCATATATCCATATATATATATGAATAGAAAGTAGTGGATGATTAGACCGAAACATTTGTCTCTATTCCAACCTCTGATAGCTATATGAACAGATGTCAGCTGGTGTAGAGACAGAAAAAATAGGACCTGTTAATTCGAAAAATTCCACATCTCCGCAGGTGCGACCCTGATCACTTGATTACGAACAGTCCACATAATTTTTTTTAAACTCAGCCAATCAGTAATAATTTTTACAGCTCAAAATCAAAATTTGAACCTTCAAATCCATGTGTGTGCAGTTGAAAGTTTAAAAATGATGAGTCGACTTTTTATCAGACACTGACATATATAGAAAAGACATATTCATAACTAGGAAAATAAATTTCTAGTTTGAGATGTTTTTGAAGGAATTAAGCAATTTTTGTAAATTTCTAGTACTTCTGACGACTTTTTACATATAATATTCAAGACTCAAATCAACCCTCCAAAATAGAGCATCTGTCCCTTTAAAAGAGGTGATGAAAACTTGGACAACTTTTCCTTGGATTGAACACAATAATACACATAAATAAATTTTATTCCAAGATGTTTGAGGCACATAAAAAGATACAGAACAATGGAATGACCATAATTTAACAATTACACCTAAGAGAACGACAACATGTACATTTACAAATGAAAACTAAGACTTAAAGAAATGAAATGGTTTTGATTCCTATATTAAAACCTGCCAGAACTGTAGTCATTGGGAAAGACAAAACTATGAAATCCTGTTCCCATTATTTTTGGTAGTCGACCAGCATTTGGTATAACATTCCATGATAACGTCAATGTTATATTTTGATTACCTCTGTAAAAAAAATTATTATAAATGTGCTTCCAGATTAGGGCTGAGTATTGATAGCTAAATTGAGATCTATTATCGATGGCAGACTACCAATCAATAATTGATTAATGGGTTTTAAAAAAGGATTTATAAATTTTTTGTGTGTATCGAGGACACTGAAAGCATCAATTTCCACCATTTCAAATTTCAATCAGACATCTGTGGTTCTAGCAATTCCACTAACACTAAATGACGTCTTTAATCACAAAGTCCTTACGTGATAAAGCATATTTTGTGACACTTTGTTTAAGTGGAATTGCAGGAGCTACAGATGTCTGATTGGAATATTCTAAATGCACTTGTCCAATTGCCTTAAGAAACAACAGTTGCACATTTGCACTGCTTTCGCATTCAGATATTTTTTTTGTTTTTTGGCTCATTATTAAAAAAATTAACATACTTTAATCCATGTCCAAAATCCCAAAAATAATATTTGGTATTGGCATTTTTTAAATCTAAGATGGCATTGTTTCCTCTTTCAATAATTTTATCCCATAATACTACTTGATTTAGAGGCTGAAAAAAAAAATTACAATAAACCAGGGCTGTTGATTTTAGAAATTTTTAACCGGACATTTTATCATGTTAAAATTAAGATTTTGTAACAATATTCATCAAGAATGCACGAAAAATGAAACCTATAAAGCACATTTGCATAGGAAATTTCCTAAGATCAAAATTGCAGCCAGTCATTTTGGACCTGGGATCAGACATGACTAGCAAATACAGATAAATCAAAAGCCCTACAATAAACTTGCACTAAAGATATTTCTGGTCATCCAGGTCCGATTTATAGCTTCAACATGAGCATTATTTTGATTCTCTTCAATAATATCAAAAATATCAAAATAATTTTTTGATTTGCTTATATTGTGTTGCCACAGGTGGTAACTGCGCATTTGAATATGACCAGAAATATCTTTGTTGTATCAAAAATTGAAATGAAAAGAATGGAGTTTTACGTATTACTCTACTGCACCTAATTGTGCTAATATAAACAGGCAACACCATATAGTGTGCAATGAGGGAAATTTTTGTCAGGAAAGCAACATAAGCCTACTCTTTTTCGATTTTCAACTGCTGTGGGATCAAAAACATGCACAGCCTGAAGCACACAGGGCAGTAATTTCTTATGAATAGTAAATTATCACGATACAGGGGCACAACACGATTTGTATTGTAAAATGGGTTACTAACAAAATTGAACACTTTATCTCTAAAGTTTCAATATGATTTTACAATAGTACATTTTAGACACTAATAAATAATATAATAAAATAATTTATTGAAAAAAATTGTCAACAGCTGTCAAACTCACAAATGTAACTTGAACTACTTTTTCAACCTCTTCTGCCATTGGATGATATCAATTTATATGTGTATGGCTGGCAAGCATAACTAGTATCATAAAGTGTATCGATACACACCACTGTTAAGATACCTATATCTATCATGACATATTTTGTATTTTGTATTTCAATGCATCAATTCACTCATTTTTCTCTAACATTGCACCAATTACATACAATAAGCCTGTGGAATCTTGTGGAAATTGAGCCGTTAGAAATTTATTTATTTCTCAAATTTAAAAGTCTTTACTTACATGGCTAGTTGTTTTATATTCAGCTGTTAAATACAGAAATAACTGTTTGACATTCCAATTGAAGATTGGTGTTAAATGTTCCAAAGGATTAAGGAAAGAAAATGTACAGGTCAAATATGCAGCATTTCATTTTCAAGGGACAAGTCCTTAAAAGATGGATTTCCTTATTTTTTTACTGTCAAATTAAGCAAACGATTTGATTAATTTGTGTTTCTTATGAATTATCATGTATTCTTAATCATATCATTATTTTCTTACTTCATGTTATTAAGAGTTTTAACCAAAATTTTTTTTGACCTTTCTTGATTGGTCACCATTGGAATTCTGCTGGTTATTCTCTTCTAATTTAGCTAATTATGAACTAATTCTGCACATGTGAGACAAAATGGTATTTTTCTAAGTCATTAGAACAACTCTACCTTCTATTCATATAAGTCTTAGCATTTTCATTAATGAAAATAAGGGAACCCATCTTTAATTTCTTAAGATAACATTTACCTCATTCATACTTTTGTCTTAATTGAAATCTTCATCATGGACTGTTATAAAATGATGCATTTCAATGACATGTGCACATAAACCATACCACATTTAATCGAAATTTTTATACAGAATAAGCTTATACAAAGAAACCAAACTCTGAAAACCAATGCTTACTCTGTTATTGTTAAGTATACATGTATTCAAGTTTTATATAAAAAGGATATCTGCTTGTAAATCAAAAACTACAAAACCAAGATCTTTTTTATCTTTTTCTGCAGTATAATCTCTTACTTCTTTCCTGAAATATTCAATTTATTCAAACATCAACAAATATACTCTGTCATAAGACCTGGAACCCTGGCCACGTATCCTAGAAACGATCTTAGCACTAGGGTGTCTTAGGTTCTCATCTTCTAACATTGATTCTAGGACATCCTAGCGCTTAGATCGTTTCCAGAATATGTGGCGTGGCGCCTGTTTTCAGGAAAGGTAAACATTGTCTTAAACAGCTGTTTTCCAAGTGCAAAATTTTTCGTCACAAAATTAATACATTTGGCAAATATTAATTCCACGCATATGGGAGAAAATACAAGGACTTTATCCATGTTCTGATATCATTGTCTTTCAGCAATAACATGGCAAATTTAACACAGCCCTCAGCATACGACATTATGAAAGACAATGTCTATATTTACTATCTATTACACAGTTTCTTTTAGGCTAAGGCAAAAAATCAGATTAAGACAGCATATGAATTTGAGCTTTAAATTCATTAAATTTTGTGAATATCACATATTGCCCTATTGTAAAATTACACGTCAGTATTATCACCACTTCCATATTGCTGGGTACTTCCCCAAGTCAAATGTTTTACAGAATTTATACTTACACTGAAACTCTACCAGTTCCCAGAGAAACATTGCCCTCGTTAGTATTGAAATTTGTGGTCAAGAAACAACAAAAAGTCAAGCCTGCCATCACGCTCAGCGTGAAGGCAAAAATTGTATTTAATCGAGACAAAAAGCTGTTCATTTCGACCATGGATTTTTAGGAAAGAAAAAATTGTCTGTCCTTTAATAAGGAAGTTGTGTACAAATTTTTGAATATTTTCATTTTAAATAGTAAAAGAAATTATATTTCTTATTTACAAACAAAGTAGAAATGGGTCAGAAAGAATAATGTAAGAAATTATTTGATATAGAATGATAGATAATACCAGCCGAAATTAAAACATCAGGAAAAAAAGAGACTTTCGGCTCTGTCAAAATTAAACTGATCACGTGATAGTCACAAGACTTGGACAAAATGGCGATTGAAATTGTCAAACTTTTCTTTTCTCTAAGTTTTACACTGTCTCTGCATCTTGTCAGCTCTCAAAGCGGCCGCAGATTTCCAATTCCACACCATAAACTAAAGAGTCAAGAGTTACCAAGTGGTTATTCTTATAAAACTTTGTATTTTGACCAACAGGTGTGATATTATCTCGATATAAAATATACCATCAAATACTATCCTTCAATACCCCACATTTGTTTCTTCCCCTGATGAAGTCAAAACATTTTTGACGAAATGTTGGGTGTTAAAGGATGGTATTTGATGTTATTTCAGTCATGATTTAGATGTCATGGTCCAGCTGTAAATTAAATTTTTATAAAAAAAATATTGTTGATTGAGCCATTTCATTTGCTTAAAAGGACACAGGAAAAAGATTTCTGGGAGTAAATCATAACGTGGTCTCAGAAACGTGATTTGTTCTGCTAATCTTATCAGTAATAATGTTAACAGCTAACCATACAAATTTGAGCCTTCAAATCCATGTGCATCCTGAATTATCTATGATTTAATGTGATCTCATGGAGTCATCCAATTAGCAGACTTCGCTATTTGAATGTCTAAACAATGTGTAGACTCAATTATCCTCTCCTACTTTGTCTACACACAACTGTGATGGAAGATGTCTTGGTGTCTGAGACTATATCAACAAGACGTTTCAATTTTGGATACCCTAAATTTCAGAGAGAAGATAAGCTTGTGAAATAAATAAAGAAATTAAAATTAAATTTTCTTGTTTGAGATCTATTTGAAGGAATCATGCGATTTTCGTGCAGTTTTAGTACTTCTGAAGATTATTAACATATATTCAAGGCCCAAATCGAACCCCCAAATGCTGCATCTATCCCTTTAAGATGAGATCATATATTTTTCCAGGTTGATCATTTTGGGTTTGTGAATCAAGACACCTACAAACAGAGATATTTGGTAGCTGATCAATTCTGGAACAAAAATGATGGACCTATATTTTTCTACACTGGAAATGAAGGAGATATAACTTTATTTTGTAATAACACAGTAAGCAGTTACATTACAACCTGAAAATTCTATATACAAGATATATTACAGTCTTATCAGAATTTCAATAGGCAAATTGGTCAAGTAGGTTGTTTGCAAATGATTTTTAAAGGGACAGGTAGGCCATTTTTTTGACCAATCATACTTTAGTCTCAGAAACTTTAATTTTTTCCCTAAGCCAATCAGAAATAGTGCTCACAGCTCACTGTTGAAATTTGAACCTTTAAATCTATGTGTGTACAGAATTATTCGCATTTGAATGTTAAAATGACAATCTAAGATACTCTGTGATATATAGAAATGACACATATAGAAATAGTGAGTTAAATTTTTTTTAGATTGAAGTATTTTAAAGGAATGATGTGATTTTCGTACATTTCTTATATCATACGACTATTTACATAATATTCAATACTAAAATCAACACCTCAAAATAGCACATCTGTCCCTTTAAATGTAATGTAAGCTGACATCAAACAAAAATTACTCATGTAACGTCACAATATTACCAAAAACCTGTATATTCATGTTCAATGGGAGAAAGTAATGGTACTTTGTATTGTTGTATCTATTGACCATGTGATTTTGAAGATATCCTGCACTTCATAAGCTTAAATGATACATGGTTTTGCCCTTCTCCTAAGTACTTAACATATTATAGTATAAAAATCGTATGATAAATAATTATATTATATAAGATCTCACTTTTTTGTAACAAAAATTGTTAATAAATGTCAGTAATAGTATATCCATATATCTTGTGCTTCGTTACCTACTCCTATTTCTATATGTGTTATAAACAGTTTGATTATATTGCAGGGTTTTGTGTGGGATATAGCACCAGAGTTTCATGCTATGATAGTATTTGCTGAACATAGATATTATGGTACATCTTTACCTTATGGAGATCAATCTTATAAGGTAAATCATAAAAATGGGTTAATGAACAAATTTTGTTAAAAAACTGAAATTAAGTGTTTTCCTTACTTTAGGCATAATACATATTGTATCTTTATACCAATAACTTCATTGTAATTGGATCACTTACCAGATTGACAATCCAACTTCTGGTTTGTATGTAATTCAAAGATGTCTCAGAAATTTCGAGTACCTTTTGAAGCTTTTATGTATTTATATATGTATGATTTTTAAGAATCAGCTGAAACAGCTGGGAATTTGTTAAGTTCAGGCTGATTAGACAATGAAATGAATAGAGTTATATGTCCTACTCTTCTGCACCTAGTTGTGCTAATGCAGTGTGCAATTAGGGAAATTTGTTAGGACACTCAGATTAGAGCCATGAAAAATCTTAATGATGGAATGCTTGAATTTTATTATTACTATTGGTGTTACTGATTGGTAGGGACCTAGCATTATCATCTGTGTTCGCAAGATCATTGTGCCAAATTTAAAGGGACGTTCGTTTTTTTTTGTCGAAATTTTTTTTTGCTTAAATTCATTAAAACAATACACTAAAATCTTACGTTTTGACTCCAAATCTTAAATTTTAACTAATAATTAGATGTAAATAGCATGATTTATAAATATTTTCAGGTATAATTTACCATGTTTTTGATAATGATAATTTTGCATACAGTTCACATAAATGGAAACGGATTTAGATTATAACCTTGTTGTAAATTTATGGCAAATTTATTTTTTGCAGGATCCTTCAAAACTAAATTATCTAACATCAGAGCAAGCACTAGCCGATTTTGCTACCCTAATAGAATATATAAAATCAACCACCCCTGGTTCTAAAAATAGTAAAGTGGTGACATTTGGTGGATCATATGGTGGTATGTTATCTGCTTGGTTTAGAATTAAATATCCTAATATTGTTGTAGGGTAAGTATTTAAAGGGGTTGTACCAAGATTTTTAGCTATTTTACGTATATAGAGGTTATTTATAGATTCTATTTGCAATAGAAATTAAAGAGGAAAAACTGAACAAATTAGGTCTATTTTGTCAAAAAAACTCAAAGTTTGAGCGGCTGTAACTCTGGAACCAAATGAGATACGCAATCCTGGTTTAGTGTGCTGTGTAGAACCAGATCTTGGCTACCCACATACAAAAGCGCAACTCTTGCTTACAGTAACGGTTTTAGAAAGTCCTTCCAAATCCCAAAATAGGCCAAAAATCTGCAAAATTTTCATTGTTTTGATCAGCAAAAAAATTCAAATTTCGACCAAATTTTTTTCTTCTCTTTTTTGGTTAAAATCGATTTGAGGGGACCGAAGGAGGTCGGAAATTTGATTGGCGAAAAAATAAATTTTGGTCAGATGTCTGTGGTTCCTATAATAATGCAAATGCTTAATCATGGTATCCATGGTAACCAAAATTCACATATTCCTTTTTTTCCAATTTGAATTAATGTTTCAAAATGCTTAAAATTTAGATTCATGTTTCATGTTTGTTGTCAATCGTGATCTGATGACAATCTTCTTTGAATTGTGTTCTGTGAAATTTTGACTGAATAGCAATCCAAATATATGCTAATCAATGAAAAACACTGTTGAAAGTGGTTAAACAATACAAATGAATATCCCAGAATTCATCACATTTAGCATTTATATCTATTTTTAAACAGGGCATTGATTGGTTAAATAGTAAATGACCTTGAACATGAGATGCATTAAATTAAAATAAGAATTTATTTGTTGCAGGGCCCTAGCAGCTTCAGCACCTATTTTACAGTTTCATAATTTAACACCATGTTCAGCATATGATAAAGTTGTAACCAAGACATTTGCTAGCTATTCTCAGAACTGTGTTGATAATATTAGACAAGTTTATTCTACTATTGACGATCTGGCAAAATCAGGTAGGCTATATATTTCAATTTATTCTATAATACTTAAAGATGGATTTCCTCATTTTAGGGTCAAATTAAACAAACTATTTGATTAATTGGTGTTTCTAATGAATTATCATGTATTCATAATCACAAAATTATGATCTTATTGCATATAATTAAAGATTCTTTTAAACCAATTATTAATGTCCATTTATATACAGTCTGGATAAACAAAAAAAAAGACTTTTTGACCTTTCTTGATCGGTCACTCATTTGCATTCTACTGGTAATTCTCTTTTAATTTACCCGGTAGCTAATTATGAATTAATTATGGACATGTGAGACAAACTGGTATTTTTCCAAGTCATTACAACACCTCTACTTTCTATTCATATAAGTATTAGCATTTTCATTTTCATAAACGAAAATAAGGGAACCCATCTTTAAAGGAACTGTACAGAGATTTTTCTAAATTTGTTATGTGCATTAGGAAAATTGATGGCATCAATTAGCACCATTCTAATTTTCAATCTGTGGTTCCTGCAATTCCATTTAAACTAAGTGTTTGATGAAATCACAAATCACGAAGGGCATTATGTGATACAACTTTTAAAACTGCAACCCAATTTGATCTTTACTGCAGTGATTGATTACTATATTTAATCCTCTGTCATCTGGTGTCGCTTTCAGAGTGTTCACATAACTGTTTATTAGGTATATTTATCATAAGGGATGTAGCATAGTTGGTTAGATAGTTTGTCTTTACTGAATTTGCTTTCAAACAAATGGTGGTTATGGGTTTCTAATATTGGTCAGTGTTTGTGAAAGTCTGGTAACTTTGAAGAATTCATCTTTCTTCATGATTCTAGTTGACCCAGCTGTAAATGAATTAAACAAAATAGAAAGTTCCTAAATTCTTACAGGTGGAAATGCAACCCTATCATTCCTCACCTCTACATTTCAACTATGTAAGCCATTAAAATCCAGTGATATAGATACATTAGAGGGTTGGTTAGAAGGTATATGGGGTTATCTAGCTATGATCAACTATCCTTACCCAGCTAACTTTCTAGAACCTCTACCAGCATGGCCAGTGAAGGTAATATACATGGATTATGATTCAGTTATATTTGCCAGCCTGTCTGGCTCATGATTAAAATGACTGAATGTCATCGACTTCATATTGTCAAACTATTACGATCTGCGTCTTATACTTTGACTGCAATAGACACTTTTCTTGTATCACAGAAAGTTTGTAAATGCAGGAAATTTATTTGATTGTACCAAATACAGCCAATCAAAGCCCTTGATTACACATGCAGCAGGCATGTTGTTAAAGTCTTTCCGTGAAGGGCAATTGCCTGTATTTGGAAGCATACCATCCAAATATTTTCATATATTCCAATAATATCCATAGTTTTGATTGAAAATTACCATCTGAAATGACATATGTTCCCAATGTTGAAATTTCTACAAATCAGTCTAAGAATATCATTTTAATTTATGAGTCCACATTCAAATTTGCGTAGGAATAGTCGGTAAAACTTGAATTTTAGGACCATAGTTATTTACCAAATTGTTTCTGATTAATTCTAGGGTGCCTGTAAACCACTTTTAAACATATTAAATGGTAAAGAATTAATAGAAGGTGTAGCCAAGTCCATCAAGTTTTATTTTAATTCTACTGGTAATACACAATGTTTAAATATAACACAACAAGCTACTGGTAATCTTGGTACTGGTGGCTGGGACTATCAGGTAAATATAATACAAGCTACCGGTAATCTTGGTACTAGTGGCTGGAACTATCAGGTAAATATAATACAACAAGCTACTGGTAATCTTGGTACTAGTGGTTGGGACTATCAGGTAAATATAATACAACAAGCTACTGGTAATCTTGGTACTGGTGGCTGGGATTATCAGGTAAATATAATACAACAAGCTACTGGTAATCTTGGTACTGGTGGCTGGGACTATCAGGTAAATATAATACAACAAGCTACTGGTAATCTTGGTACTAGTGACTGGGACTATCAGGTAAATATAATACAACAAGCTACTGGTAATCTTGGTACTAGTGACTGGGACTATCGGGTAAATATAATACAACAAGCTACTGGTAATCTTGGTACTAGTGACTGGGACTATCAGGTAAATATAATACAACAAGCTACTGGTAATCTTGGTACTAGTGGCTGGGACTATCAGGTAAATATAACACAACAAGCTACTGGTAATCTTGGTACTAGTGGCTGGGACTATCAGGTAAATATAATACAACAAGCTACTGGTAATCTTGGTACTAGTGGCTGGGACTATCAGGTAAATATAATACAACAAGCTACTGGTAATCTTGGTACTGGTGGCTGGGACTATCAGGTAAATATAATACAACAAGCTACTGGTAATCTTGGTACTAGTGACTGGGACTATCAGGTAAATATAATATAACTAGCTACTGGTAATCTTCGTACTAGTGGCTGGGACTATCAGGTAAATATAATACAACAAGCTACTGATAATCTTGGTACTGGTGACTGGGACTATCAGGTAAATATAATATAACTAGCTACTGGTAATCTTGGTACTAGTGGCTGGGACTATCAGGTAAAGATAATACAACAAGCTACTGGTAATCTTGGTACTAGTGGCTGGGACTATCAGGTAAATATAATACAACAAGCTACTGGTAATCTTGGTACTAGTGGCTGGGACTATCAGGTAAAGATAATACAACAAGCTACTGGTAATCTTGGTACTAGTTGCTGGGACTATTAGGTAAATATAACACAACAAGCAACCGGTAATCTTGGTACTAGTGGCTGGGACTATCAGGTAAATATAATACAAGCTACCGGTAATCTTGGTGCTGGACAAAGTTGGTGCAGTATCTGCCGTTGTGGCTCAGTGAGTTAGACGCTTGGTCGCTAACCTGGAAGTCTAGGGTTCAATCCTGACATAGGTCGAGATAATACCTTCAGATTTTTCAATCCGATTCCACCCTGTCAGTGATGCAGGTAAGAGGGACTGACAAGGAAAAAGCGTCTCGTTGTGGAACAATAAACCGAGGCCCTGTGTGCTACAAGCTGTAAGCGTTAAAGATCCCTTGACAGTTGGGAATTGAAAATGAGCAGGCTTATGCTGCTGTCCTGGCAAATTTGCCTCATTGTCTCTTGCATGGCGTTGCCATTTTCATTAGCCCACATGGTGCAGAAATGTAAGACGTAAAACTCCATTTCATTTCAATTACTCTTTGAAGGTATCCAGTCTACAGCCCCTTACATAATAAAAAGCTTAGGGCCTTTTTTACACACTTTGATGTTTTTTTTACCTGCCATAGACAAAGCAGTTTATAAAAGTGTTCACTTATTATTCCTTTTTTTCTTGAAAAAGTGTTTGAAATTCAATGATTTCAGTCTTGTACAGAAATGGTGATGCCAATGTGCTCAGATAATACTACTATATTCCGGCCTGTAGAATGGAACTATACAGCTATATCAGACAACTGTTATAAACAATTTAAAGTCAGACCTAGACACGATTGGATCAATACAAATTATTGGGGAAAATCATTGTCGTCTGCTAGTAATATCATTTTCAGGTAGGTAAAGGTATACAGCTATCGCAACAATTCTGATACAAGCTTGAATACAAATTCAACCGTCTGTGTCTTTTTCAGAATTTAAATAAGATATGTGGTTCTCTTGTAATTGAATATGAACTTATAGAAATGACTTCCAGACTGTTATTAACATACATATCACATCAAAATCATAACTACCAATGAGAATGTTATTGAATTGCAGAAGAACCAGATGTCTGAGTTAAATTTTATATAACACTTATAATACATCATATGTATGTGCCTATGTTAACTCCAGTGGGTCTCTTTAAGATTGTTGCAATTTGTGAGTCCGCAAGCAAATTTAAATCTTAAGAATCAAATTTTGAAGGTACAAGATCTTCTGTAGATTCCTTGAACCATCAAGACATATCTCACAGTACCCCTGATCCACCTGACAAACTAAGCAGGTCTGAATTATTTTAGAGAAAGGATAACAGTGGTTAAGGTTCAAGACATCGGCTAAAACATTAGCAGCCCGAAAAATCTGGCCCTACCAAGCTCATCAGACTTGTGAAATTGGTACCTACCCATAGCAATATCACATCCTTATATAGCGTTAGAAGAACAGGGAACTGTCAAGATAGTTCAATGTGACCTGTATGTCCGGAATAAATGACGTCAATTAGTATCCAATTTCCCTCCTTGGGGAGGAATTCCTCCCCTGTTAGTGTTTCTGTGGTCATGTGCCTTTTTGGGAGACCACCTCAAACTCCAGTCTGTTTCCTCAATATAAATAATTGGTGTTTCAGTAATGGACAATATGATCCGTGGATAAGTGGTGGTGTTACTCAGTCTCAATCAGATACAGTGGTTGCTATCTATATCAAATATGGTGCTCATCATCTAGACCTACGTTCAGCCAATCCTCTAGATACAGACTCAGTGAAAGCTGCCAGACAACAAGAGAAGAATATCATACGTCAATGGCTTTATACTAATTGATCATACTTTTCATAGATTATATAATACTCACTATACTCTATTGCAAGTGTCAAAAAATAATACTGTGTTTTCAGGTGTCATTCACATGAAAATAATTCAGACCCTTATTAAAGGGACATTCTGCTTCTTTTTGTAGGTCAACATTTTTTTTTTGCTCAAATTTGTGAAAACTATAGATTAAAATCTACAGAAATGTGTCCTTTAATGTATCCGAACGTTTTAATTAAAAAAAATCCAGCCATTAATTTTTAAACGCAAAAAATATTCAAAAACATTACATATGGTTTTTTTAAATTCATTATGCTTTTTGGAAGCTGTTAGAAAACTACTGTACGGATCTGAGTAAAATAAACGCCTAATTGAGATATATGTCTCTTATGTATTCTAAAGGTTTCAACAAAATATATACGAGCTATTATAAAGCTCAACACCAAAACTAGGCTCTTAATTAACAATTAGTACAATCCGTTTTTAATTAACTCTTTTAAAACAAATTCGGTTTAATCAAGAAGATACATAAATATAAATAGCATATTTTAGAAATATTTTTAGGTATAATTTACAATGTTTTTGATAATGAAAACTTTTTACAAAAAAGCAGAAATTTAGGGAATATTCTGATATAAGTAATTTACTTAACCTAATTAAAGTGACAGTGTTAAAGTGGTTAATTTAAAAAAAACATTGGCAGTCTTATAAAAAATTTAACCAAACTTTCATGCCTTTTTCTTATTAATATTAATTAGACTAAAACATTTCGAAAATCAATTTCATTTCATACATTCCATACTCAAATTTAAATTTATTTTTTCAAAATCTGTAAATAGTATATCATCTAATTTTTTTATATTAGTACAAGTTTCTGTAAAATATTTTTAAAATACAATGTGATATTTCAATATTTACAATGTAAATAAAGTTTCAATGTAAATGAAAAATAAAACTCTATTTTTGTGTGTAATTTTTTCTTTTTTGCAAGTTTTTTTTTAATGAAAATTAGTTGTCAAATAGGAGAGCTTTCACCTATTGCCAATGTGCTAAAATTCAAACTAGATCTTCATCATGTATATTCTTCTGTAAACACAACAAGTTGTATGTAAATTGGTTGAAAAACTGTAGATTCATGAGAGTTTATGGAGGCAATGTGAAACGTGTCAACACTGTATGTTCACATAGACTGATGAGGAAAAAAAAACAATAAACATTTGCATTAGTATTTATTACTGAAATATATTCAGATATCACCTTGACAGGATTGCTTCCAACTCTGTATTTTTATATATTCTGAAATATAAACAATCAACTTGTACTGGATATCTCAACTTGTACTGGATATCTCATGTGTTGGCAATTTTGATTAAGAAAAGCCTGATTCCTCATTCAAAAAAATAATTTTCATGGCAGCCATATTTTCATACCTTTATGCACAGTCTAATTAAAATTAAACCAAACTCTTGTTCTATTTTTATTAGCTTTTATTTTTAATATAGCCACTTCATTTAAGGTCTAAAGATAGCCTCTTAAACATTTGTAGAAATAACCTTTTGACCTTAAATTGATGACATCTATTTTAAGCAATCAAATTCCTTCACTCTCTCACAAAATTCCATGCTGGAGAGGGCATACTAGAATGTTATGTTGACGAATGTTTAAGAGGCCAGTCTTTAGACCCTAACTGAAGTGGCTATATTAAAAATAAAAGCTAATAAAAAACGAAACAAAGGTTGGTCTAATTTTAATTTGACAGTTTTATGCAGTATATGAATTGACTTTATTAAGGCATGCTACAAAAGGTATAAATATTTGCATATTTGCATCAGTAATATTATGCCTGCGAGAAATTTTAAAGCCTCTCTCCATTTTTTCGTCGATTCCAGTGGATTATTTTTTTTAACTGCAGATGAACCAGGTGCCGATTTCAATTCTAAAAGTTTGATATATAAATATGTTTACCTGGCTAGCTGTAGTCCACCTTTCTCAAGTATAACCTGTTTACTGGCCTTATCACATTGAGATAATGTTAATAATAACTGTACAATAACATCAACTATATCTTCTTCTACTACTTCACCTAAATATCACATTGAGATAATGTTAATAATAACTGTACAATAACATCAACTGTATCTTCTTCTACTACTTCACCTAAATAACACATTGAGATAATGTTAATAATAACTGTACAATAACATCAACTATATCTTCTTCTACTACTTCACCTAAATAACACATTGAGATAATGTTAATAATAACTGTACAATAACATCAACTATATCTTCTTCTACTACTTCACCTAAATAACACATTGAGATAATGTTAATAATAACTGTACAATAACATCAACTATATCTTCTTCTACTCCTTCACCTAAATAACACATTGAGATAATGTTAATAATAACTGTACAATAACATCAACTATATCTTCTTCTAATACTTCACCTAAATAACACATTGAGATAATGTTAATAATAACTGTACAATAACATCAACTATATCTTCTTCTACTACTTCACCTAAATAACACATTGAGATAATGTTAATAATAACTGTACAATAACATCAACTATATCTTCTTCTAATACTTCACCTAAATAACACATTGAGATAATGTTAATAATAACTGTACAATAACATCAACTATATCTTCTTCTACTACTTCACCTAAATATCACATTGAGATAATGTTAATAATAACTGTACAATAACATCAACTATATCTTCTTCTACTCCTTCACCTAAATAACACATTGAGATAATGTTAATAATAACTGTACAATAACATCAACTGTATCTTCTTCTACTACTTTACCTAAATAACACATTGAGATAATGTTAATAATAACTGTATAATAACATCAACTATATCTTCTTCTACTACTTCACCTAAATAACACATTGAGATAATGTTAATAATAACTGTATAATAACATCAACTATATCTTCTTCTACTCCTTCACCACCAACATTTTTGTTTTTTAACAGAATAAGAACAAGTAAATGCTACAAAAATCAGTATTTTGAATTTCAATAAAAGCATGATAGCTTTAAAATGTGCAAAGTTGCATGTGAACTCCAAAAATCAGCATAATGAATTTTATAAAATCATGATAGCTTAAAAGTTAAAAGGAAAATTATAGGAAAATGATGTAAATAGAACACCAACCTTTAACTTCTAGTAACATTTTAACCATGGAAACTAACCATCCTGATTTTAATATAATAGATGGTGTTGAAGAGTATAGCTTAATACATGGACATAAAGCTGGAATTAAAGGTCAAAGGTCATTGATTTTAGAGGTCCATTCATACTTTGATCTTGGATGTCTGGCATCTACTTTCAGTTTTGCAAGCAGTCGAAAACATTAATTTTGAAAACTTTCACGGCTCATATCTTGTGACCTTGACCGTTGCTGATATTGCGACCTGCACAAAAGTTGTTTCTCCTGGCGAGGTCTATCCAATTGTATCTTCATTTTTGTTTTGAGATGTTAACCTTTGGTTAAACAGCCCTTTAAAAATCTTTTTACTAACGAATATTATCAAATTATTGTGTCTTTTAACTACCGAATGTAAACATTTATCAATATTTTATGTAAAAAGCTGTCTCGGTGCCGTTTGCAGTTTTATTTTTTCTGAGGATTTTATACCACTTGGTATATTGAAGTATTCAGCATACCCAGATAATTTGACCCATAATGTGAGACTTACCTTGAATGCCCAAGAACCATAACTCTGATATATCTTGCCAATAAGGGAGATAATCTTCATTGACTACTATTTTAGGTTTATTACTGGTGTTTAATTGATAAGCATGACTAAAGAAATTAATACAATGTGATACATATTTATTTCTCTCTTCCTCTTTGTCTGAAGATTAAAAAAAAAAACACCATTATCATTGACAGGATAATGACGTCTGCATATTTGATTTACTTTTTTGATTGGGGAAATGAAATGAATTTGATTATCCTATTTGGAATTTAAATCCTACATGTCTGCACCATTACAGCTTAGAAAAGTGAATGCCATGAAGTGTGCAATGAGAGAAATTTTGCCATTACAACTGGAATACTCCAATTTTAACTCCAAAGTGATCTGTAACATCTTCGTTCATTGTGCAAATTGCCTTAAGTTTTGTTCCATCTGAATGTTTGAATTTTAATATCTGCAACTTTCAGCCAAGAAAGGCCAAGGAGTGTGCGATAAGAGAAATCTTGGAATTACTAACTGGCCTGCTCCAATTTCAAATGCGACAAAAGTTAAACTGTCAACTGTTCTTCAAGTCTGTTTTTTCGTCTGAACGCGATCGGTAAAACTTAAGCTGCCTTAACTTGCACCTACTGGTGGCTTAAATCCTGGCTTGGAAAGTTAAGCCAGTTTAGTTGTGTCGTCTGAACGCTACTAGCTAACATTCAGCCCGATATGTCATGTCTGTGCATGAGCATACGTCTTAACAAATTCCCGCCATTTTTTACCTATGTCATAATGCGCATTCGTAATGGTATTATGACCTTTGAACTTCTGAGGTAAATGGCAAAGCTGGCTTAACTTTTATGTCCGTCTGAACGTGCACCAAAAACAGTAAACCAGACTCGAACAACGGTAGATAGTTAAGATGCCTTAACTTTTGTCGTCTGAACGCACTATTAGTCCTATCTGAATGGCTAGACTTAACCACATCTAAAATTGATCACAAAATATCTAAAAATAGTATAGGCAAAACAAAAAGAAATCAAATTTGTTACCAACCTGAATGATATGATGTCTGATGTTGTAATAACATTAATCCTAATGTAGTAAAATTAGCTGTTAATATTAAATTCTCTCTCTTATATACTGAAAAAACAAATAAATGAATACATAACATATCTACTTGTAGAAAAATATCTGTACAAGTCAAGCACAGGTTCGCCATTGGTTTAACCAATTGTACCTTTGTCTCAGAAATGGGAAGTTTTTAATTAAGCCAATCAGTAATAGCGTTCACAGCTCTCAGTTGAAATTTGAGCCTTCAAATCCATGTGCGTCCAGAATTATCCATGTTTTAAAGATTGAAAGGAGACTCGTCTTTTCTTGAGATTTTTATCATATAAATAAGTAAAATTCCCATTTTCATACATTTCTAGTACTTCTATAAACAATTTACATATATTCAAAACCAAAATCAACCCCCAAAGAATGGCCAACCTGTCCCTTTAAATGTCTGTTCAAGAAGAAAGCCAATTGTTTTAAAGTGTTATCTAATAACTTACTAGTATATGGTAAAGCTGTAAATAATATTTCAAGCAAAGAATGAAAACTTGAATCTTTCTGAACTAATTGTTGTTCTGTGACAGTTAGATTTAAAAATACACCACATAAACTTCCTAGAGTATCCTGGAAATAACAAAAACGGTTGTTTATATTCATTTATTTTTAGGTATAAAAGAATATGTATGGATTGACACCAATAATATGGTCCCCATAATAAATTTGTAGAAAAAGGTGTAACAATTCCCAAACAAGCCAAAAGTTTTTGAAGTTTAATTTTAAAAATTGTGATTCTTTAATCATTTTCAAAGAACCTGAAAATAATTTTGTTATGGTCTGAATAGGCTGACTCTTTAAGCAATATTTAAATGTTAACAATTCTAACCTTTTGCACATAATTGTCATGGATACCAAAATTTCTAAGCTACCTTATGTCTCTGATAAAACAGTGTTCAAACCAAGATAAAGAGAAATATTTCACAGTTTTAAGAAAAGGAAAGGTTCAAGAGTAAGCAAAGGTGACTATGGAATTTTTGCCAAGATATAAAGTTTCAAACATAATCACACGGCAAAGGACAAAGGTCAGGGTTCAATTTAAGCAGTATCACATTTCACTTTTTGATTCAAAATGACCCCTTCTGCAATCCAATATTTTCTATGATTATCCAAAATTGAATTTTTTCATGAAGATCTGCTAATCAAATCAAATTGTATTTTTTTTGTGAGAATTTTCTGCCAATTCTAGACTTATATGGCAACTTAACAAATTCTTATGAAATGTTAATCAAATCTTAACTTGATTAGCCAAAACTAAAATGTGGTCTAATAAATTGTTTGTCAAATTTTTCAATCTAAATTGAACCCTGGATCAGGTTTTTCCATGCCATTGAAGTTCTATAAATCTACATACCTTCACCTCTTCTTCATTTTCATCATGTTCTAAAAATTGCTGCCATTTTGTTTTGAAATATTGTAACAGTATATCTTGTATGTTATTGTCAATCAGAATATGTCTAGGTTCTTCTTCTGATGATAAATGACATAACCCAGGTAACAAAAACCTTAAAATGTCCACGGTCATGTCTTTTTCTAATTTTGGAACATCAGGCGAAAACCTGACACATTTTGGCTCATTGGTTACTGACGATTTGGAATTGTCTGATTGGTTGGTTTCTTTTGAGTTATTTGATTGATCAGTTTCCATAGATTGAGTCATAGATTCTGATTGGCTATCACAGTTTTCTATAGCTTTCATTGATTGGTTGTCAGAAATATCACATTCTTGTAATTGGCTTTCAACATCTTGAGGAATATCTGGCAGACTTTCAGCAAGTTTGGGATCCAATGAGATTTTTCTGAAAAAAAAAGATTTTGTTATATTATTGAAATAATCAGAAATAATTTGAAGCAGTAAAAATCTCAAAATTTAATTTTTTCAATTTGGTCTTCAGCCAAAAGTGAAGTGGGGTTATTAAAGATGGCTTCCCGTATTTTCATTTATGAAAATGAAAATGTTAATACTTATATGAATAGAAAGTAGATGTATTCTAATGACTTGGACAAATACCAGTTTGTCTCACATGTCCATAATTAATTCATAATTAGCTAAATTAGAAGAGAATAACCAGCAGAACTCCAATCAAGAAATGTCAAAAGGTCTTTTTTTTTGTTTATCAAGACTGTAAGTACATGAACATTTACGATTGGTTAAAACTCTTAATTATACAAGGGAGATGATGATAACTGTAATGCTAACTTAATTGATTCATTTTGCTTGCGTGGAAGTATAAATACATAGTCACTGGTTGCGTAATGGAGGTGGTCTCTTGACAGTTGTTAGTTATAATATAAGTTATAAGTTGTAGGGGGAACTTTATTGTGGTCGTACATCGTGGTTGACCGCTTGAAACCACGTATAACGATATATGATGCGAAATTGCTTTCTGAGAAAATCACAAAAAACTATTTGTACGCGTATTTTGTTAATATCATTTTTATTTTATTTTTCCCGCTATGCATGGTTTTCATTCTTTGAAAATATAAACCTCGTATAACAATTTGAGTTCTTCGACCTATTCAACCAAAAACTCTTATAATAATACAGTATATTGGTTTTTCTTTTTCATCTGCAGAAAAG